TGTTGTATGAACAGTTTTTCCGTTTATTAATAAATTTGCTGCTATTCCTGTCCATGCAATTGGTAATACTGTTATATTGTTTTCATTAAAAAATTCTATTAATGCATTAAGTAAAAAACTTTTTCCCGTGCCACCTGATCCACGAATAAAATAACATTTTTGGTTTACTCTATTGTAAACTGCATTTATAATAATATCAAATATTTGTTTTTGATTTTTTGTTAATGTTTGTATTTTTTTAACATCTTCTTTATTTATTTCTTCATCATTTATAAATTCATAGTCGCATCTTAGTATTCTATGTTTAATATGTGAGAAATTATCAAGTGATGGTAAATTAAAATCATCTAATGATAAACCATTCTTTATAAGAATATTATTAATTAAATTTAAAGCCCACATTTCACCTACTTCAGACTCCAATTTTGGGTGGTAAAAGTGTTTTTTATATTTATCATATAATTCTTGAGCATTAATAGGTGTATGATAGACACATATATAAGCGAAAAGTTCACATGTTGCTTTTGGAAATGTTGTGTGACAAACTTCATTTAAACATTTATCCCATTCATTATCCATTGAAACTAGTTGTCTTTGTTTTGCAGCTTCAAGAAAAGTGGAAAATATAACATTATTATATGTTCTTAAATCTTCAAATGATGTTGCACCGTTTACATGTAATAGCAATAATCTTAAAAAATATTTTTCACGTTCACGTGGGTTAACCAAGTACAATCTACTTATTACTGTTTTATAAATCGTTTTCCTTTTAGTCCACATTTTTTTGGTTTTATCAAAAACATATTTTTGAGGAATTTCAGTATATAACAATTTTCTTGCTTCTGGATCTATTTTATTTAATTCAAACCAGGCTGTTAATGTTGTATTAACATTTTTATTCATTACCTCTTGTTCTGAACCTTCTTTAAAGTAAACATTTTGTTGATTTTCATTGTGAACAGCTAACCTATAAATAACATGCGACATTTCACTTAGAGTGAATTCAAATATTCGATACATGGCTTCAGGAGGGCAAACATATCTCGTATTTACATATTGTTGAATTTCATCGTATTTTATTTCAATCTGTGATGTATTGATGTTTTGATTTACATCATTCTTTTCTTCTATTACATTGTTGTTTTCACTTTTCATTTCAATTAAAGCACAATCATGACCTTTATAACAATATTTAAATAAGTATTTTATTGCAAGTACTGTCGAACATACTTCAACATTTATATGGCAATTAAATTTTAAAAGTAAATATGGATTATAGGGTACTACAAATCTGTTGTCAGCAATTCTTCTATTTGAGAATACAATTTTTCTTCCATTATTTCTTCTTCTATAAAAAGGATATCCAGTAGTATTAAATTCTGTACATTCATTAAAATTTTTAGGAAACTTTTTCGAGCATTTATTAGTAGATTCATCCATACAAGGTGAATTTATATTTTGTTCCCCACATGGACCATGAATCATGAATTGTTTAACTATTTTAAATAAACGTGGATTATTTTTTTCATCTGGTATTTCAGCAGAAATAAATTCATCGACTTGTTCTGATGTTCGAATTTTATTATTTTCATCTAAAAATAATAGAAAATGCATATGTGGTAAACCTCTCTTTTGAAACTCTATTACATATGTGTAAGCAATGCATTTTCCAAAGATTTCTTTTTTTACTATTTCTTCTTTAAATTCTTTAACTTTTTGATTAAATACTCTTACAACTATATCTGGACGATTAATTACATCTTCATTTTTCCCAATATTATTAGTAATTTCCTCCCAATTAGCGTTACAAGTCATAGTTATAAATAAATCTGGTTTACCATATTTTTGAACTAAAGACATAGCATCAACGAAATTTTGTTGTAGAGCTCGCGGACTTCCAATAAAGCTTGAGGGAAGAATAAACATTTTTCCAATTTTCAAATTTTCCTGTTCAGATTTTTTATTATGTAAATAATCCATTAATCCACTGTATAATTCAGTTCTTAAATTATTTTGTTGTTTTTTAATGTAGAATAATCTTGAACTCTCCACTTTAATCCATGCATCAACAATATATTGTTGGGTTAATTTCCCTAAATTTAAAAATGGACTAAAATCACTTCTTACATTCAATTTGTGCGAATAAAATTGTAACGCTGTAATGCAATTTTTACTGTTTACACAGTACAATTTAGGCATCCAACCATATCCTCCTGAGGGGTAAATTAAGGGATATGTCATGGGATCTACATGTTTACTAATAGAAGGAATATGAATTGGTTTTTCATTTTTAGAATAAATACAAAAATCTCTTTCTACAGGTGGTTCTCCATCATTATCTACAAAAACGATAGCTACTTCATTTGAATTTGGCAAATCGTATCTTTTATTATTATAATTATTTCTTTTTAAAATCATTTTTATTTCCCTAGGTTCAATGTTATGTTTTAATGAATGCTGGTATTCTTTTTTTTCCACTTCATGCATCATTCTATATGATTTTGCATAAATATTCTTTTCTCTTATCAATTTATCTAATTGCATTAATATTTCATTTTTGCATTTAATGTTACTATTCTTTCTATTTTGGGTTGCCAATTCATTATCTAAAATATAAAGTTGTCCATACTTTCTTGATTCATGTTCATTAGGGTGTAATGCATATGTATTATGGTAAACCTGGCCACAAATGCGAACAACTGGTGGGCCTTTAGTATGTAATTTATTATATGTGGCACCAAAGCTAGCAAATGCCAATGAATTATTATATTGTCTTATACATTGTTTAAAATGTTTGCTTATTTGTGAATTTCCAGTTGCTAATTCTTGTAATTCTGATGGATAAGGTGGATCATCGATTAGTTTAACTTTTTCTTTGTGACAACAACTTGTAAAAGTATTATCTTTTTTTAATTCAAATTTAAAATGTTTTGCCTTACAAAAATTACAAACAATATCCATATTTCCAATGAAATTTTCAGATATTAAGTTTTCATCTATAGGAATATTTGCTATTGCTGCAGCATGTTCAATTTTATTTTTTATGTCTCCATTTATTACAAAAATGTCATTAATTTCCTGGTTTACTTTTGCTTTTTTATTAAGTTTGTTTTGTTTTTGTTTTATATATTGCAATTTACGTTTCTCTGAATCTTTTTTTTTTTTCTCGTCACTTCGAGTTCCATATTTTTGTCTTCTTCTTTCATTTTGTAAAGTTTTCTTTTCTTGACATTGTAATTTATTTTTTATTGATAATTGAACATTTTCTTTGACTTTACTTTGATCTGTATAAATTACTTTTTTTTTCTCATCTTGTACTTTACGTCTTTTATAATCAATTTCTTTCTGGTTTAATTTTCTGTTTTTTTTACACGGTTTAAATTGTTCATAATATTCTGTTGTTGAATCCATTGGACAATTTAAAATAGTAGTATTTGAATTTTTATCATCTTTAGTCGATATCTCCATCTTAGGATATTTTGTATAGTGGTTTGCTATTGAAATATCAGATGATGATGATGAATGATATGATTTTTTAATGTCTTCTACCGTAATTTCCATCTCCATAGGATATTTTTCATACTGATATGATTCAAAAGTGATAGAAGATGATGATTGGATATCAGAAGGTGATGAGTGATAGGATGTTTTAATATCTTCCATTGAAACTGCTATCTCAGTGGGATAATTTTTATTGTGAGATGATTTAAAAATGGTATCAGATGATGATTTGATGTCTTGTACTGATGTTACATCATCAATAATGATTGTTTCAATGTTAGAATTATTTAATTTATTTTCATGTTTTTGAAAGTTCATTACTGTATAAAAATTATCCAAAGGATTTAACTGAAGAAATTGACTATGGCTAAGTTGACGATTTGAAGAATTACTATATTGTGTATTAGGACTGTTTAATAATGGAAACATACTTAATGATGAATCATTAAAAATTTTTAATAAATGTTTCCTCATTTCTGTTCTAGAGAAATTCAAAGTGCAAGGACATAAATTAAAAATTATTGAAATCACAAAGGCAATTGCGTAGACTCCACAATCGTAAGAATTAATTTGAAATTGTACATTTTCAAAAACAATCTCTATATTCTGTGAATAAGGGAATAATTTACGTATATATTTTATATGATCATCATTTAATGAATGTTGATTTAAACTATCATATACATGAATAATGTAATTATTGTAATAAATACATATCCAGTGTCCATGGTTGTTATTTCCGGAGAATAATATTTGTATATACTCTTGATCAAGTGGTACTGGATTTATAAGAAATGGTAATTGAAGAAATAGTGTTGATTGCATAGAAAAATTACTCTGAGATTGTAAAATTCTATTAAATTCCGTTATATGAGTATCAGTCAACATACTATTTTCACCATTGTAGTGACCAAGTCCTAATACAGTTTCTTTTTCTGCTTGAGATAATCCCATTTTTAATAGATGAATTTAAATAAGATAAAAAATGGTTACCTAAAAAAAAATTTTATTTTAATTTATTATAATTTAAATTATGCGATGATTAACACACATCGTTCTTCAATCGAAAAGAAATGCGACTAATATAGATTCAACAACAACAAATGGAATTTAATTTGCTTTTTAATGAGTTAATTGATATACCCATGTGCGAAAACATTATTATTACTAGACCTGAGCGTTAGCAGACAATATTGGGCCGACTTTTGTGGTGCTAATTGCGGTTGGACGTCGGCTGCCAGGCCACGACAGAAATAAGTGGCCCAATATTGTCGGCCATGAGTGGCCCAGTATTATCAAAATTAAAAAAAAGATTCAAAAATTATAGTTATTAATTAATTAACTAATTGAAACATTTAAAAAAATCTATCACTAGCGGGGACCAAAATCACAACATAACACATCGAAGCTTAACACGTTAACCACTACACTAAGCGGACACGGAAATATCAATGAAAAATTTTTTTTGATAAGTTGCTTCTGCTTTAACACTTCAGCCGTTATTGCTCCATTACAGCGCCAAGATTCGTTCTAACTTCTGGAAAAATGAATTGTTAAATTAAATTCAATATTTCAGCTGTTAATGTGCCAATAATTAGCCAGTATTGGAACAAAGTTCGGCTAAATTATGGTAAATTAGAAGTCCCAAGAATTTTTGACAGTATTGGCCAAGTAATGTGACAAAGTTTGGTCCAATTATAGCAAGTCAGAATTACCAACATCATTTTAATAATATAATCGCTAAAAAAATTTATTTATTACATTTTCTGCGACTTTTAAACTTTAGATCAAAACTAAATCCATTTTTTATTGATAATTAATCAATTTTAAAAATTTTTGTGTCGAAATATTCGTTACAACAAGTATTCCAAGTGAGAAAACCAAAACGGGTTAATATTGGCCCAATATTGTCAAAGCTGACACCGAGCATTGGTAGACAATATCGGTCCTTCTCTTGTGGAGAAAGCTGCGGTTAGACGTAGGCAGCCAAGTATCATACGCCATCAATGTGCCAATCTTGGCTGCCATTAGTGGCCCAGTATTGTCAAAGTTTAAAAAACTATAATTATTAATAAATTAACTAATTAAATCATTATACATTTATAATATAAGTCCTTACAGAAATCGCAATTGTTTAAACATTTCAAAAATTTGTAATATTTGCGAGAACTGAACTCGAAACCTAACGCATCAAAATCTAACACGCTAACCACTACAATATACGCGGATATGGGAATCTCAACACAAAAATGTTTTGATAAGTTGCATTTGAGGAACATTTCAACCGTTAATGCCCCATTACTGGGCCAAAATTCGTTCCAACTTTGGAAAAAATGACTTGTCAAAATTAATTCAACATTTCAGCCGTTAATGGGCAAATAATGACCCAGTAATAGGACAGAGTTCGTCTCAATTATGGAAAATTAAACTTACCAATTATTGGTTCCAATATTGACCCAGTAATGTGACAAAGTTCGGACCAATAATAGCAAATTAGAGTAATCGAGAATCAGTGCCAATATTGGCCCAATAAGGGGACGAATTGATCGCCAGTACTGGTGCATTAACGTTTGCCGTACTTCGGCAGACATTACTGGACCAATGTTGAGTCGTATTGTCAGTCTCGTCATTTTAAACTTGAAATAAAATCTTTTTCAGCATTTATTTACGAGTAATTTTCCGTAAAAGTAATTGTAAAATTATTAACAATAAGCTTAGCATTTTACATTTTGTTAAAAAATTCAGTGCGGGGCAAAACCAGGTATATTCAAATACATTAAAGTGGTTCCAGAATAGGTACAAAAGCCAAGTACAAGTGCAAGTCCAAATGCAAATCCCATAAGTGCGAATGAGATAGGTAGTCTATGTATCTCTCTTGCACTCATAGGACTTGGATTTGGACTTGGCTTTTGTACCTATTCTGGAACCGCCTTTACACAATGTATATTTAAATTTTATCGCCAAAGAATCGACATAAGGTAAATGCCCTAGTTACCGTCAATTTTGCTTCAGTAATCGTCACATAAGTAATTTGAGAATTTAAAGCAATGTATTAAAAAAATTATTATTATAATTTATTATTTGTATAAAAATAATTATTTAAAATCGGAAGATTCATAATCTTTAATTGTATTAGAAAATATTTTATGTAATTTTCAATGAAAGTGACGGTAACTAAAGCAGTGGACTTATAAAAAAAATTTAAAAATACGTAAAACAACGTCCATATAATAAAGAAACATTTCATTGATACTAATTTTGAATCTATTTTAGTTGCATTTCTTTTTGCTTTGTTCACCGATGTTTACGCTAATGATACACTTATAATTAAAATAATGTAAGGAAAAGGAATAATTAATAAAAAAAATTAATTTAACAACAGCATAAATCAAATGCCATTAAGCAATTAAGAAAGTTTGCAGTATATGTCAATAAGGTTCTGAAAGTCAATAAAGTTTCGAAAAATTATAATTTGAACGGTAGAATGAAAAAATTAGTTACGCATCAACTCACTGTTTTTACCGTAAATGAAAAAAACATATTCAAAAACTATGAATTAAGTGCTTGCTTTGCAATCGAGTACTATCTCATTTTTAAATTATAATTTAAAATATAACAATAAAATTTTTCTAATTATTATAATTATAAAAATAATTGAAAATTAATAACAATATGATATTATAATTATCTAAAATTAAAATTAATAATTTTTTATTAATATTATTATTATTATTTTGATTAGTACTGTTTTTTAAAAATTATTTTCATATTTTCAAAGCGATGTTTTTTGTCTTATTAAATTTTCATAATATTGTTGATTTACGAATTTATTTTGTGTTTCAATCGAATTGTAAACAATTAAATTTGAGATTATTTTATAATTTTTATATTAGTTATTAAAAATTAATTTAAAACGCAATAAAAAAGAAAATTATATTACAGAAATACAGTAAAAGAATTGTCTTTAATTTTTTATGAAAACCTCAATTTTAAAAAATTTGCGCTTCACCGCTTTTGTCATTCTACACTTCATTTATAATTCTTTCGTTTACAATTACATATGACTTTTGTTCGCCTAAATAGTGATAGAGGTTCTAATTAACGGTACCAGTTATTAATTACAAATATTACTATTATGACATAGGTATTTAAATTATTAAATTAATGAAACTTCATTAAAATGCGGATTGTATCTCTATTTTTAAGTCATAAAAAAGTTTTTTAAATTTTTTTACTTCAAACAATAAATAAACATAAATATTAATTGAAATAAATTTTATCCTTCAATCAAGTCAAAACTGCATAAAAAGGTAATTTATTTTAAAAAAATAAAAAAAATATATTTTGAAAAAGTTAATAATAATGCAAACGTTCAAAAAAATTTAATTAATTAATCATCAAAATAACGTAGAAGAATATTTTTTTTCAATTAAAAGAACAAATAATCTAATTTAAATTTTTTTTAAAAACCAAAAACCAAATATATAATAAAAAAGTAAGAGTACTGTATTTTTTCAAAACTTTGTTCGGTAAATTTTGTGAAGTTTTGATATCGACTTGACTGCAATTGATTTGTTTAAAAAAGGTAATTAATGTGTATTATATGTAATAATTAAACAATTGTATTTTGTTTTATGAAAAAGTTAATTAACTTACCGCACAGCGTTTAGATATATATGTATTTCTTTTTTTTAAATATAAATTATATGGTATAATATTTTTCTTGTATTATTTAAATAAATAATCTATTATATGTCAAACTTCGATAACACACAATTTGATAATGATTCGCTATTAATATTAAATCATGAGTAAACCTTTGTTTTCTTTTAATATTCAAACATTCTACAAATATAAACAAAAATTATTCTTTCATTTCTATTATATTGATATACGTATAAATGCAAAAATTTTATTTATATTTTAATATTATAGTTTATTAATCGATTATGAAATAAATATATACTATAAAAAATGTTCAATGTATTTCATTTATTTATATAACAATTAATAAATATAAATTTCTTAAAAATTGGTTTACAACAACCAAATATCAAATGCAATTAAAGAAAATAAAACAAATCTATTTTTTAAATTATATATATATATATATATATATACCCGTGTGGAAAAAGTCACGATTTTGCCCCCAAGACTTCGGGGCCCCCGGCGGGGGCGCATGAGGGCTGATCCATTTGGCGAATCTATGAGAGCCAACGTAGGGCCACGCATGGATCACACAAATGATCGTTTAGCAAAATTTTCTAAGTCCATAAGTCAAATATTTTTTTATTACCAAAAAATTAATGTTTACAATGATTAAGAACAATGAAAAACGCGTTTTTAATAAAAATATATTTTCACTTTTTTGAAAATTCACCTGGGATGATTCATAATAATAATCATAAAGCATATAATTAATTATATTTTATAAATTACATTTCATTGGAAAATATAATATAATATCTTAACTTTAACTAAATGATATTAAGCACTTTCCTGAGTTAGGTATTTTGCAAGTTTAAATGCCATCAAGAATTTAACATTTGTTTTCACGTAGCGTGCGTAGCGCACTTGGGAAAGTGTTAGGCTCATAGTCCGTAGGTTTGATTCCTTCCTTGCGTTAGATTTATTTATTTCTCAGGTTTGCGTTTAATCAAATATTCTATGTACGAATTAATTGAAAAATGAAAATATCCTATCATAACATATTTTTTTATTAATTAATTTATTATTATACTTTTAAACTATATCCAACAGTTCATTAATTAGAACGTTAATTAATAAATTCAATTTAATTAAGAATTTAATTTAAAAATGGAAGAATTAGTAAATAAATATGTTATTTATTCATAATTTAAGCTTATTTAATATTAATTAACTATTAACTATTAACTAATATTAACTAATATTTTTAATATTGTTGATTAAAAACATTAAGGCAAACTTGAGGGCAAGATGAGGGCAAACGTGAGGGCCCATCGATGAGCATGTTGTTTCCATGAGGGGCCCCTATGGATTACCGATATGCGCCTCTCATGGCATGAGAGCGATCCATAAGGGCCCCCAGTGGGGGCTCACGTCACTTTTCCACACGGGTATATATATATATATATAATATTTATTTTATTTACTTTTTTTTTCAATTGAATAATATAAATAATTATTTGTAATCAACGTTTCTTTAATAAAGACAAATAAAACAAGGAGGGGGTCCTTTATGTTTATTTCATAAACATTATGCTTCCTCATTGTGTGAAGCAAAAAATTCGCTTCCTTGTGAAGGAAGCAATGAATTTGTCCAATTCAATTGATTGATTTAAAAAATTTCGAGTTAAAAATGTTTTAAATTAATTAAATTTTTTGAAAAATAAAGAAAATTTTAATTAATTTTGAGTGTAACATAAACTTTATATATACGAATCGATTCGTTTTAATGCAAGGAATACAATTATTTTATTCATCAACTTGAATTTAAAAAAAACACAAAATTTTTTAGCTAAAATATGAATTTTCGATTTTTCAATTTTTATTAATTCTCAAATTTTAAATCAAATCTATACTTTATATATACCAACCAATTCGTTTCAATGCAGGAAATAAAATTATTTCATATATAAACATGAATTTAAATAAACACATCATTTTTTAGCTAAAATGAGAATTTTTGATTTTTTAACTTTCTTTAATTCTTTAAATTTCAATCAAATCTATACTTTATATATATCAATCGATTCATCTTGACATAAAGAAGACGATTATATTATATATTACCTTAAATTTTTCGATTTAAAAATTTTTTCAATTAAAAAAAAATTTTTGGAAAAAAGACGATAAAATTTTTTTTTTGGGGTATTTTTAAAAATCCTCTCGTCATTTTTGAGAGATTAATGTGTTAAATAAGCCTACCAAATTTTATCCAAATCCATTAAAACCTGTTAAAGATATCGTGTTCACAAAAACGATCCACACACACATACACACACACACACACACACACATACACACACACATACATACATCCGGACAATTGATCAGGATCTCATATAACATGTTTCTATATAGAGGAAAATTTGTTTTCACCATTTTTAAAAAGTTTATAAACGAAAGGACTACATAGCTTCCTCCACGAGGAAGCAAAAGAAATATAATATTTTAATATATTTAGATTTTAAGTACAAAAAATATTAAAATTATATATAATAAAAAGAGATAGAGGTAAAAGTAAATAAATGTTTTTGTCTTTCTTTTTTTTAAATTTTTTTAAAAATATTAAAATTGTAATTGAATAATAATAATAATGAAGAGTGCTATAAGATATTTTTATGAATTTATATTCATTATCCTTCATTTTAATAAAATAACATATTATCTCAAGTGAAATGAAATGTAAAATGAAATGACAAACTTTGAAAGAATTTCATCCCATTATTGGGGCATCAATGGCTAAAAATTTGAATCTTTCCTAGGCCAGGTTTGGGCCTTGTTGGATTTCGCAGTGGGGATTAGTTGTTGTTTTTAATAAAAATTCAAAATATAAATTACAGTATAAACAACAAGTAAAAAAAAGATGGTAACCAAACTAAAATCAACGATTAAGCACATTTATTATATTAATTTTGTAAAATGTTTTACTGTTTTAAATTGATAAATTTTATTTAACAATAACTATTTTTTTGCGGCGTTATAAATGGATGAAAATATAATTTCCATTTTTTTTCAATTTCTTTTAATTTTAATTGTTTCTTGATTCCTCCTCTGCATCCTCGGTAATTATCTGTAAAATAGTAATTATTTAATCAGATAAAAATAAAATTTTAAAATATGAAATATGAATTTTCTTTAATAATAAAAAAAGAAAAGATGTACATTGTAATATTTTATATGAGAGATTCTTTTTCAATCTCATATACAAAATGTATTTTAATGCAATGTTTTTCAATATTAATTTTAAAAAGAGTATAATGATTTTATGTTAATTATTAAATTTATAATTTTATGAATATTACTTTTTTTCCTAAACTGATGATTTCGATTTTGATAAAAAGGTGGACGATGTTGATAATTTTGTGATTCATGGTGATATTGTTGGTGATTGTATTGATTTCCTTTGTTGTATTGATAATTGTGATAATTGTGACGGTTATACGGAAAAAAATGAGAGTAATATTGTAGATGATGTGTACGTTGATTTCGTATTTTTAAATTATGTTGTTGATGTTTTCTTTGATTTTGGATATGTTGTTGAAATTGTTTATGTTGTTGTTCTAGCTGTTGTTTTTGCTCATCATGTTGTTGTTGTTCTTGTTCATCATGTTGTTGTTCTTGTAGATCTTGTTTTTGTTGTTCTTCTAATTGTTGATGTAGTTCTTGTTTTCTTTGTTGTTGTTGTCTTTGTTTTTGATGTTGTTGTTCTTCTTGTTTTGGATCTTGTTTTTGTTCATCATGTTGTTGTTGTTCTTGTAATTGTTGATGTAGTTCTTGTTTTCGTTGTTGTTCAAGGCGTTGTTCTTGATGTTGTTTTTGCTGATCATGTTGTTGTTCTTGTTTTGGATCTTGTTTTTGTTCACCATGTTGTTGTTGTTCTTGTAATTGTTGATGTATTTCTTGTTTTCGTTGTTCTTCAATGCGTTGTTCTTGATGTTGTTGTTTTTGTTGTTCACTTCCATCTTGCTTTTCTTTATTTACTATAAAAGAATAAATGTTATTTTAATCTTCTATCTTTTTTATTATATTAAAATGTTTGTTTTGTCGTCTTCGTGACGTCACTGGGCCAAGAATTTTCGTTTTTCACATTCTTTTTCAACAATTTTTGTTCAGATATGATTCAAAATTAGAATTTAAACATAAATTAAACATATGAATTAGAAAAAAATCTGAATTTTTTTTTTTTGCAACTTTTTGCAAAAAATAATTTTTTGGAAATTTTGCAACTTTTTGTTATTTTTCAGTAATTCACATGTAAAATGCATCCCAATTTCAAATCTCATCAAAAAATATTTATTTTTTTTAAAGTTATCGTTATTTCAAAATTTTTCACAAATCATCATCTATTATATTAAAATGTTTGTTTTGTCGTCTTCGTGACGTCACTGGGCCAAGAATTTTCGTTTTTCACATTCTTTTTCAACAATTTTTGTTCAGATATGATTCAAAATTAGAATTTAAACATAAATTAAACATATGAATTAGAAAAAAATCTGAATTTTTTTTTTTGCAACTTTTTGCAAAAAATATTTTTTTGCAAATTTTGCAACTTTTTGTTATTTTTCAGTAATTCACATGTAAAATGCATCCCAATTTCAAATCTCATCAAAAAATATTTATTTTTTTTAAAGTTATCGTTATTTCAAAATTTTTCACAAATCTTCTATTATATTAAAATGTTTGTTTTGTCGTCTTCGTGACGTCACTGGGCCAAGAATTTTCGTTTTTCACATTCTTTTTCAACAATTTTTGTTCAGATATGATTCAAAATTAGAATTTAAACATAAATTAAACATATGAATTAGAAAAAAAATCTGAATTTTTTTTTTTTGCAACTTTTTGCAAAAAATATTTTTTTGCAAATTTTGCAACTTTTTGTTATTTTTCAGTAATTCACATGTAAAATGCATCCCAATTTCAAATCTCATCAAAAAATATTTATTTTTTTTAAAGTTATCGTTATTTCAAAATTTTTCACAAATCATCATCTATTATATTAAAATGTTTGTTTTGTCGTCTTCGTGACGTCACTGGGCCAATAATTTTCGTTTTTCACATTCTTTTTCAACAATTTTTGTTCAGATATGATTCAAAATTAGAATTTAAACATAAATTAAACATATGAATTAGAAAAAAATCTGAATTTTTTTTTTTTGCAACTTATTGCAAAAAATATTTTTTTGGAAATTTTGCAACTTTTTGTTATTTTTTAGTAATTCACATGTAAAATGCATCCCAATTTCAAATCTCATCAAAAAATATTTATTTTTTTTAAAGTTATCGTTATTTCAAAATTTTTCACAAATCTTCTATTATATTAAAATGTTTGTTTTGTCGTCTTCGTGACGTCACTGGGCCAAGAATTTTCGTTTTTCACATTCTTTTTCAACAATTTTTGTTCAGATATGATTCAAAATTAGAATTTAAACATAAATTAAACATATGAATTAGAAAAAAAATCTGAATTTTTTTTTTTTGCAACTTTTTGCAAAAAATATTTTTTTGCAAATTTTGCAACTTTTTGTTATTTTTCAGTAATTCACATGTAAAATGCATCCCAATTTCAAATCTCATCAAAAAATATTTATTTTTTTTAAAGTTATCGTTATTTCAAAATTTTTCACAAATCTTCTATTATATTAAAATGTTTGTTTTGTCGTCTTCGTGACGTCACTGGGCCAAGAATTTTCGTTTTTCACATTCTTTTTCAACAATTTTTGTTCAGATATGATTCAAAATTAGAATTTAAACATAAATTAAACATATGAATTAGAAAAAAATCTGAATTTTTTTTTTTTGCAACTTTTTGCAAAAAATAATTTTTTGGAAATTTTGCAACTTTTTGTTATTTTTCAGTAATTCACATGTAAAATGCATCCCAATTTCAAATCTCATCAAAAAATATTTATTTTTTTTAAAGTTATCGTTATTTCAAAATTTTTCACAAATCATCTTCTATTATATTAAAATGTTTGTTTTGTCGTCTTCGTGACGTCACTGGGCCAAGAATTTTCGTTTTTCACATTCTTTTTCAACAATTTTTGTTCAGATATGATTCAAAATTAGAATTTAAACATAAATTAAACATATGAATTAGAAAAAAATCTGAATTTTTTTTTTTTGCAACTTTTTGCAAAAAATATTTTTTTGCAAATTTTGCAACTTTTTGTTATTTTTCAGTAATTCACATGTAAAATGCATCCCAATTTCAAATCTCATCAAAAAATATTTATTTTTTTTAAAGTTATCGTTATTTCAAAATTTTTCACAAATCTTCTATTATATTAAAATGTTTGTTTTGTCGTCTTCGTGACGTCACTGGGCCAAGAATTTTCGTTTTTCACATTCTTTTTCAACAATTTTTGTTCAGATATGATTCAAAATTAGAATTTAAACATAAATTAAACATATGAATTAGAAAAAAAATCTGAATTTTTTTTTTTTGCAACTTTTTGCAAAAAATATTTTTTTGCAAATTTTGCAACTTTTTGTTATTTTTCAGTAATTCACATGTAAAATGCATCCCAATTTCAAATCTCATCAAAAAATATTTATTTTTTTTAAAGTTATCGTTATTTCAAAATTTTTCACAAATCATCATCTATTATATTAAAATGTTTGTTTTGTCGTCTTCGTGACGTCACTGGGCCAATAATTTTCGTTTTTCACATTCTTTTTCAACAATTTTTGTTCAGATATGATTCAAAATTAGAATTTAAACATAAATTAAACATATGAATTAGAAAAAAATCTGAATTTTTTTTTTTTGCAACTTATTGCAAAAAATATTTTTTTGGAAATTTTGCAACTTTTTGTTATTTTTTAGTAATTCACATGTAAAATGCATCCCAATTTCAAATCTCATCAAAAAATATTTATTTTTTTTAAAGTTATCGTTATTTCAAAATTTTTCACAAATCTTCTATTATATTAAAATGTTTGTTTTGTCGTCTTCGTGACGTCACTGGGCCAAGAATTTTCGTTTTTCACATTCTTTTTCAACAATTTTTGTTCAGATATGATTCAAAATTAGAATTTAAACATAAATTAAACATATGAATTAGAAAAAAAATCTGAATTTTTTTTTTTTGCAACTTTTTGCAAAAAATATTTTTTTGCAAATTTTGCAACTTTTTGTTATTTTTCAGTAATTCACATGTAAAATGCATCCCAATTTCAAATCTCATCAAAAAATATTTATTTTTTTTAAAGTTATCGTTATTTCAAAATTTTTCACAAATCTTCTATTATATTAAAATGTTTGTTTTGTCGTCTTCGTGACGTCACTGGGCCAAGAATTTTCGTTTTTCACATTCTTTTTCAACAATTTTTGTTCAGATATGATTCAAAATTAGAATTTAAACATAAATTAAACATATGAATTAGAAAAAAATCTGAATTTTTTTTTTTTGCAACTTTTTGCAAAAAATAATTTTTTGGAAATTTTGCAACTTTTTGTTATTTTTCAGTAATTCACATGTAAAATGCATCCCAATTTCAAATCTCATCAAAAAATATTTATTTTTTTTAAAGTTATCGTTATTTCAAAATTTTTCACAAATCATCTTCTATTATATTAAAATGTTTGTTTTGTCGTCTTCGTGACGTCACTGGGCCAAGAATTTTCGTTTTTCACATTCTTTTTCAACAATTTTTGTTCAGATATGATTCAAAATTAGAATTTAAACATAAATTAAACATATGAATTAGAAAAAAATCTGAATTTTTTTTTTTGCAACTTTTTGCAAAAAATATTTTTTTGCAAATTTTGCAACTTTTTGTTATTTTTCAGTAATTCACATGTAAAATGCATCCCAATTTCAAATCTCATCAAAAAATATTTATTTTTGCTTCCTCGTGGAGGAAGCTATGTAGTCCTTTCGTTAATAAACTTTTTAAAAATGGTGAAAACAAATTTTCCTCTATATAGAAACATGTTATATGAGATCCTGATCAATTGTCCGGATGTATGTATGTGTGTGTGTATGTGTGTGTGTGTGTGTGTGTGTATGTGTGGGTGGATCGTTTTTGTGAACACGATATCTTTAACAGGTTTTAATGGATTTGGATAAAATTTGGTAGGCTTATTTAACACATTAATCTCTCAAAAATGACGAGAGGATTTTTAAAAATACCCAAAAAAAAAAATTTTATCGTCTTTTTTCCAAAAAATTTTTTTTAATTGAAAAAATTTTTAAATCGAAAAATTTAAGGTAATATATAATATAATCGTCTTCTTTATGTCAAGATGAATCGATTGATATATATAAAGTATAGATTTGATTGAAATTTAAAGAATTAAAGAAAGTTAAAAAATCAAAAATTCTCATTTTAGCTAAAAAATGATGTGTTTATTTAAATTCATGTTTATATATGAAATAATTTTATTCCCTGCATTGAAACGAATTGGTTGGTATATATAAAGTATAGATTTGATTTAAAATTTGAGAATTAATAAAAATTGAAAAATCGAAAATTCATATTTTAGCTAAAAAATTTTGTGTTTTTTTTTAATTCAAGTTGATGAATAAAATAATTGTATTCCTTGCATTAAAACGAATCGATTCGTATATATAAAGTTTATGTTACACTCAAAATTAATTAAAATTTTCTTTATTTTTCAAAAAATTTAATTAATTTAAAACATTTTTAATTCGAAAGTTTTTAAATCAATCAATTGAATTGGACAAATTCATTGATTCCTTCACGAGGAAGCGAATTTTTTGCTTCACACAATGAGGAAGCATAATGTTTATGAAATAAACATAAAGGACCCCCTACTTGTTTTTAAAGTTATCGTTATTTCAAAATTTTTCACAAATCTTCTATTATATTAAAATGTTTGTTTTGTCCTCTTCGTGACGTCACTGGGCCAAGAATTTTCGTTTTTCACATTCTTTTTCAACACTTTTTGTTCAGATATGATTCAAAATTAGAATTTAAACATAAATTAAACATATGAATTAGAAAAAAATCTGAATTTTTTTTTTTTGCAACTTTTTGCAAAAAATATTTTTTTGCAAATTTTGCAACTTTTTGTTATTTTTCAGTAATTCACATGTAAAATGCATCCCAATTTCAAATCTCATCAAAAAATATTTATTTTTTTTAAAGTTATCGTTATTTCAAAATTTTTCACAAATCTTCTATTATATTAAAATGTTTGTTTTGTCGTCTTCGTGACGTCACTGGGCCAAGAATTTTCGTTTTTCACATTCTTTTTCAACAATTTTTGTTCAGATATGATTCAAAATTAGAATTTAAACATAAATTAAACATATGAATTAGAAAAAAATCTGAATTTTTTTTTTTGCAACTTTTTGCAAAAAATATTTTTTTGCAAATTTTGCAACTTTTTGTTATTTTTCAGTAATTCACATGTAAAATGCATCCCAATTTCAAATCTCATCAAAAAATATTTATTTTTTTTAAAGTTATCGTTATTTCAAAATTTTTCACAAATCTTCTATTATATTAAAATGTTTGTTTTGTCGTCTTCGTGACGTCACTGGGCCAAGAATTTTCGTTTTTCACATTCTTTTTCAACAATTTTTGTTCAGATATGATTCAAAATTAGAATTTAAACATAAATTAAACATATGAATTAGAAAAAAATCTGAATTTTTTTTTTTTGCAACTTTTTGCAAAAAATATTTTTTTGCAAATTTTGCAACTTTTTGTTATTTTTCAGTAATTCACATGTAAAATGCATCCCAATTTCAAATCTCATCAAAAAATATTTATTTTTTTTAAAGTTATCGTTATTTCAAAATTTTTCACAAATCTTCTATTATATTAAAATGTTTGTTTTGTCGTCTTCGTGACGTCACTGGGCCAAGAATTTTCGTTTTTCACATTCTTTTTCAACAATTTTTGTTCAGATATGATTCAAAATTAGAATTTAAACATAAATTAAACATATGAATTAGAAAAAAATCTGAATTTTTTTTTTTTGCAACTTTTTGCAAAAAATATTTTTTGCAAATTTTGCAACTTTTTGTTATTTTTCAGTAATTCACATGTAAAATGCATCCCAATTTCAAATCTCATCAAAAAATATTTATTTTTTTTAAAGTTATCGTTATTTCAAAATTTTTCACAAATCTTCTATTATATTAAAATGTTTGTTTTGTCGTCTTCGTGACGTCACTGGGCCAAGAATTTTCGTTTTTCACATTCTTTTTCAACAATTTTTGTTCAGATATGATTCAAAATTAGAATTTAAACATAAATTAAACATATGAATTAGAAAAAAATCTGAATTTTTTTTTTTGCAACTTTTTGCAAAAAATATTTTTTTGCAAATTTTGCAACTTTTTGTTATTTTTCAGTAATTCACATGTAAAATGCATCCCAATTTCTAATCTCATCGAAAAATATTTATTTTTTTTAAAGTTATCGTTATTTCAAAATTTTTCACAAATCTTCTATTATACTATTAAATGTTATTTTAATAAATGTATATCCTGTCTCAAAAGTGCCAAACGCATAAGAAACAAACGAATGAGAATTTGTTATTTAAAGAGAAAAAAGGTTGATGCAACATTAAATAAAAATAATAAAACTGTGCGACTCTTCGCTCGGAACGCAAGCTCTCATACCAGTCGGGTAGCAGTGTATGGCCCACAGGCGCTCACTGCTATCCGACTGGTACGAGAGCGTGCGGTTTAAGCGAACATAACATGTTTTTTTTAAAATAACAGTTTTTTAAGAAACGTTTTTCACAGAATGCCACACATTTGTTGTTTTAGTTATATTTATTTATGATTTTATTTTTCAATGACACCTTTTATTATTACAAAACAACAATAAACTAAATTTATAAAGTATAAAAAAATATTTACTTACTCGTTAAATGTGGTTTTCTTCCTTTAAAATAATTTATTATTCTGGCAGCCACAGATCTCACACTTAAGAAATTCATTTTGATACTGACAATATTAGTAAAATAAATAGGATAAATGATAAGTATTATTAATTTTCAGTTATATTCATGTTTTTATTTAACGTGTGTTGATACTGTCAATATATTAAAAATAAAATAAATTTCTTAAGAACCAAATTAACTATAATTGAGCTGCCGGATCAAAGAAGGGCACATAACTAATGTATTTTAAATGGGTTATGTGCCCTTCTTTGATCCGGCAGCTCAATTAAAATAAAATTAACAAAGAAACAATGATTTTAAGCTAAAAGGGTATGTAATTATTAAGAAAAGTTATTTAATACAGTTATTAATTATCATTTGTACATATGTATCTTAATTATATTTCATCTTATATTTTAATTATAAATAATAAAAATGTAAATGAAAGTGAAAATTATCCAAAAGCGAAATTTAGGAGCTGGATCATCAAACAGATTCTTCGTTTGCACCGCACGCGCTCATACCAGTCGGGTAGCAATGTGTGATTCAGAATTGCTCAATGCTACCCGACTGGTATAAGCCCGTGCGGCTCGAGCGAGGAGTCGGTTCTACGATCCAGTTACTCAATTGGATGTCAAAAACATTAATAATACTCTCTATGAATAAACTGTTAAGGTTTTGTTAAGTTTTTTAATTAATTTTCGGTAACTCTCTTCTATATTTATAAAAATTATAATATTTTAAAAATATTATATATATTATTATTACAATAGAATTATATATATATATATATATATATATATATTTGTTTTTAAATTTTTTTGCAAATATTTTAACTTATTTTTTTTATTTAAATGCACAATTCATCTTCAACTTAAAATTTCCAAAAATAAATTTTTTTTAAGATATTTCATAATTTATATATATTTATATATATATGTAAATAAATAAAAAAAATTAAAATTATTTTTATTATTATATAACATAATTATTATAGTAAGAAATTATTAAAAAAAATTCAAAATAAATATTTGAATTAATGTAAGAATTGAAATATTAATTATTGATATTTCGAAAAATAAATTATACAAGTATATCATTGTAAATATATAAACACTTTAAAACAAAAACATTTATGTGCTTCAAATATAAATTATTATAGACTTTCGTTTTTCATTTAGTCATAAATTGAAATTTGCAAGTGAAGTGTGTTTAAAAAATGTCAACTAAAAGAGAAAACGAAAATTCAGAAATAAAAAATAAAAAACAAAAAATAAATCACGATTCTGAAAAGAATGAAAAAAATTCAGAATCCGGTCTTTTTGTTAATTTTAAAAAAATTACTGAAATAATATCGGGGTAAGTTTTTTTTTTTTTTTAATTTTTGAAATAATTTTTTTAATTGTATTAATTATTTTCGTTTTTTAAAATAAAAAATTATAAGTAAAATTTGTTTAATGAATTCATTTTTACCTTTTAAAATAATCATTGAAATTTTCAATTTTAATAAATAAATTTAAAAAATGTTTTTTCTGTTTATAAAATAGTGATTAATTTATATTAATAACAGATGAGTGCGAAGTTAAGAAAAGAGCCAGCCAAAACGTTTTATTTTCTTTTTCGTTATAATGTTCTTTTTTAATAGTGTTAAAAAGTGTGCCCTTTTAAGATTCGGAGCCTCATATGGCTTAACCAGTAAAAACATTACGAAAATTAGTGGTACAATAAGAGAATAATGGAAAAATATGATTCTTATAAGACACCAGTTTTTACAGATATTAAATATTAATTGTTTTAAAAATTTATTTAAAAAAGATTCAAAACTTATTTTAAAATACAATAACTTTTTCATCGTACATTCAATTTTTTGTTTAAATGGCAACTTTTTAATTTTTAAAACAATTATTGTTTGAACGTTAACTAGTTTAAAAAATTAAAAACGGTTTTAATAGAAGACCATATTCTCATCTTACACTCAATTTAGTTTGAAAGATGAGAAACTTTTTAAAAAATTTTTTAATTATTTAAAAAACAATTGTTTAAAAAATTGTTAACTAAAAAAATTATATTTTTTTAAACAAAATAATATTTGTATCTTACATTTAATTTATTTCGTGAGACAAAATATTTTATTTTAATTAAAAACAATTTTTTTTTTTAAATAATTTGTTAAAAAATTAAAAAATTGTTCTTAAACAAGATAATATTCCTATCTTATATTAAATTTATTTTGTAAGGGGAGAAAATTTTTGTTTTTTAGTGTTTATTTTATTTTGCTTCCTCTCCTGTCCAGGAAGCTTTATATTCATGCGGATTTTGGATTTTTTAAAAATGGGTTATAAGGGCTCATTTCTATGTAGAATGCATATTCAGAAGTTTTAAACAAATGTCAAGATGAATGTGTGTGTATGTCACAAAATGTAATGTACAAATTATTTCCTAAAAGCATTAATGGATTGTCCTCAAATTTTGTCGGCTTATTGTATTGATCAATATCGGAAATCAGACACAACGATTTCCAAAAATATCCAAATAGTTTTTATGTTGCTTTTTCAAAAATTCGAAAATACTTTTATCAACCAAAAAGTTTCTTACGCTGTAAATTTAATTTTTTTAAGTAAAAACCTAATTTCTCGCATTGAAACGAATTGATTAACCTATATAAAGTCAATATTTTACTCAAAATCTATAAATAAAATCATTTTATATTTTTTGAAAATATCGTTTTTCGTCTTTTTTAAAATATCTTTTTTCTTGATGAAATTTTTTAATATATTTTGTCCGAGTTGTATTCCTGGTATCAAAACACAGAAAATAAAGTATTTTAAAATTTAGTATACCTATATACTTAGCACCTATGTTAGAATAAGTTATAATAAATTTCAGTATGTAATATTCATAAGATTAGAATATATTTTTAATATTTAGTATAATATTCTTATCATTTAGAATAAATACTAAGTACGAAAAATATATTTTAATTTTAAGAGTATTACATACTGAATTTAAGTTTAAAGTATTGTAAAATAGATGTAAAATAGTATATATTCTAAATTACCGAAAATTTTTTTTCGGTGTACAAATACATTGATGTATATAAAGTTTACATTTTACCAATATTTATAAATTGTTCGCTATTTATTTAAAAAAAAAATTTTGAATTTTTTTAAAACTAATAATATATAAGTGTTTATCATGATGAGGAAGCTAAATGGTTATAAATTAAACAACTTTTTAATTTTCATAATGTTTTTACTGGTCACAAATAAAATTTTATTCAATAAATATATATTTTCAATTCTTAAAGATGGAATATAAGAGCAAGAATCACTTTTAAAAGTGAAATTAAAATATTCAATGGAGGCAAATTATTTAACATTCACCTATTGGACGGTGAACAAGAATTTAAATGTACAACATTTAATGAGGCAGTGGATTGTTTTTACGATTCATTGGAGGTAATTTATGTATACTTTTATCATATTCAACATATACAGTGAAAAAAAAATTTATTTGGATCAAATAAAAAGTATTTGATCCAAATACATCATTTACTTGTCTATCATCCAATTTTATATTAATATATATGTATTTGAACCAAATACATATTTACTAAACCTAAGTATTTTATTTTATTGTGCTAAATAAATAATAATTTGTATCAAATACAAAGTATTCAAATCAAATACATGAAATATTCAAAGCTAATAAATAATTATTTGAATCAATTATAAAAATTATTTACTTCAATACTGCATGTATTTTAAATACAATATATTTAATATATTTTTTAAATATTTTTCTTGAAATAACTAAAAATTTTCTTGAAACAAATATTTGATTATTCATCATAAGTAATCGTTTTAACCGCTTTTTCTAAAATTTAGTACACTTGAACATAGTATTGACTAGTGATTAAACGAAGGATTTTTTTTCTATTGATTACAACCGATTTTACATGGTAGTAAATTTTATTTGTCACCTACTCATGAACACTGTTAGCTTACGAATGGCGGAGATTTGCAACTTACCTTAACCTCACCTAAAGTTTACGTTGTAAGCGGGTAGTTCAATAATTATTAAAAAATTCTACAGGTGGGCAAGCAGTATATTTTCTCGAATTTCATAATATCTGCTGCTAATTCGAAATATTCATTAAATAATAACATCTATGAATTACAATTAACAAAATCGTCTATTGTAAAGATAGATAATGAGAAGGAAGTTGAATTGCCAAAAAATAAATATAATTTTAAATCAATTTCTGAATTGCAATTAAGTTCAAAAAATGAAACTATAGGTATGTTTAAGTATATTCTTCATTTTTAAATTAAATTAATACTATTATAAATAACGAGGCGCATGATTATTCTATGAAAATAACTCATTACAACTCACCATAAATATTTCCTAAATATTTTATTGTAAAATTCAAAATATTTAAATGAGATGTTCATGATATGTTGATGAAAAAAGGAAATCTTCCGCCTATTCAGATAGAGGGTAATTGAAAAAATAAAAATTTGTCTAAAACATAATGTTATCGAATATAATGTATAATTGTAAATTCTAAATAACTATTTTTTAAAATAACCATGCACCAATAATTGTATATTACGAATATATGATGCAATTAAATAATTTAAAATATAGAATTGATTGTAATGTTAACTTATTTATTTCATAATTTTTAAATTGAAAAATTAAATAATTTTCAGATGTAAAAGGCAAAATTGTAAAAATAGAGGATACCAGTGAAGTGACCTTTTCTTCAGGCAATAAAGTCCTAAAGAGAAATGTGACATTAAGTAATAATTCAAATGAGACTGTACGTGTTTTGAAAGTATATATGGCAAATATGTAGAACTTTTAACATTTTTGTGTTGGGTCAACTGTAACGTTTATTGTCTCAAAATGATCGTCTTGAAGTAATTTCTTATTTAAAACACGGTCTTTTAAAAAATCCAAAATGGCGGACATAATGACACAGTACATATCTGAAAAATTTATAAATAAAACGTTATAAAAGTAACAAAAAATGTTGAAATTATATATCTCTAAATTAAGATCTAGTGATGCTAAAGTTTTACAAAGTAAAAAAAAGTTCACAGTTTACAAAAATTAAAAATTGTGAAACAAATATGACGGAAAAATTAAAAAATTGATCAAATTGACAAAACTTGTTACTTGGAGATTTTTGAGTTCGCTGAATACGAATCCGAGGTCTTTTTTTCGAAATTCAAAATGTCCTGTGCAATATGGCGTAAAAAGTTTTATTAAATTAATTGAATTTAATTTAAATTTATTACCCAGGGGTTTTCAGGTTCGCTGAATACGATTATCAAGTCAGTATTTTGTAATTTAAAATAGCGGATCCGATATATCAGTAAAATTTTAAAAAACAGATTTATATCGCTTAAAATTTAGAAAACAGGGGGGTTTTGTAGACTTGCTGAATACGAATCCGACGTCAGGTTTTTAAATTTCCAAATGGCAGTCAATATTGCCGAGAATTTTTAAAATAATCATTTTATTTTAAAATTATGTATTATTATTACAGTTTTACAATAATTACTCATGATATTATCAATTTTAAACTAATTTACAAAATTTTCCTTTGGTTTAAAAGGAGGGAAAGAACACCTTTTCAACCGTGTATTTCTTATTTAGTCAAAATAAAAACTGAAGTACCTGAAGTTGAAATTAATTGAAATATTTCGATTATTTCAACTTTGACGAAATTATAATGTTTTTTTTCGCATTTGGAAATTTCTTTCAAAACAATGTTTTGAAAAAAAACTTAATTGTGAGTAAAATAAGCAATGGTTAAACAAAATTGGCTGAAAATTTACAGAATTGTTAGAAATTTAAGGTTTGAGACTTCTTTCCCTAAATTTGTGTGTATGTATATCTGATCTCGAAAACACATTTTTTCCCATTTGAAATAAAATTAAAAATATAAAACTAAAATTATTTAAATTCATATTTAATTGTGATTAATAATCGTTTAATATTACATATGAAGATCGTGTTTCAAATCTTTTAATGAAATATTTCAGAAATATTCAAAAATATCATGTACTGTGTAGGAAATGTTGGAAGTTCAAAAGATTTGCCCATATAAATTATTAAATTATTTATTTCATTATACAACTTTTTAACAAATACTTAAATACATTTTTCAGATTTACTTCACTTTATGGAGAGATAAAGCTGTAAATTTTGAAGGAAAATTAAATGATGAAATTATAATTAAAGGGGGAAAAATATTAAATTATAATCATGAAAATTATATTTCAATTGTACATACCACTGTTTTAAAAATAAATTCAGTTGCGTGAAAATTATGATTAAGTGAATGTTTTTATTTTTCATTTAAGCAAATAAAATAAAAACATTCACATAAACACTGTTTATGTATATAATTTGTATTTATGTTAAAAACATACAACCTAATTTTTAAGTGTTTATATTGTTAATAATTTGTAATTTAATTTGTTTGTTTGTTGTATATCAGTTGCGTAATTGTTTATAGAAAAATGTTTATAAAAACGGATGGTGATTTAATCACTAATTGTCAATGGTTTTGTAGAAAAAACGTGCATGTTTTTTGTATCGAAACAGTAGTTGAGTTTGAGCGTAAACATGTTCTTTATAACGCAGTTTACAGAAAAAGTAAATCTTTTTGATAAGTTAGTGACATAAGTTATTAAATATTAGTGTTACATTGTAAACTTATGCAATATATTTATTCTTTGTACTTGATTTAAAAAATAAAATGTTATATAAAATAATTTTTTAATTATTTGTAAAAAGTATTAAAAAATATTATTAAAAATCTAAAATTTAAACAAAATAATGAATTATCTTTTTCAAAAATCTATTATATTATTAATTAAAATATTTTTTTTAATAAACAAGACACATGAATTACTTTATATATCATAAAATTAAATTAAATTATGTGAAGTTAGCCAATATTGTTAAATAATTCATGAATTACACATAAAAAGAGTTTTGATTAAAATTTATGATATTTGTTATTGAAAATTCAAAATGACTTTCAGGAAATAACATTTTTTAAATTTATAGATATTTAAACCGTATTATAATCATCGAAAAAACAGAGGTAGCATAATTCCCGAAGACAGTTTAGTGAAAACTAAAAAAAATAAATTCTTTGAAACAACCAAAAATATTTGTCAGAATAAATTATTTATTTATGAAAAGTATTAAAAGTTTTCTAAAAAATATGTTTATTATTATAATGTTCTTCATTATTATAATGTAAACATGTTTTTTATAACGTAGTTTACAGAAAAATTTAATCATTTTTTAATGTTAGTAACATAAGTTATTAAATAATAGTGTTTTATTATAAACTTTTGTAATATAGTCATTATACGTACATTATTTACAAACAATAAAATTATTTTATAATAATAATAATACAATAATTATAGTTATATTATATTTAAAACAATAAAATAAAGTAAATTTAACCATGGAATGTTAGCCCATATTGATAAATAATTAATTACGTATATAATATTAGTTCTGATTGGAATTGCTTGAAATTTGTTACTTGAGGGTTTTCAGGATTACGAATATGATAGTTATTTCTAAAAATCCAAAATGGGTTTTAGGAAATAAAATTTTTAAAATTTGTTATATTTCAACCGTTTTATAGTCATAAAAAAACTAATGTAGAACAAAACACAAATCATTATATTGATAAAAATAGATTATTTATTTATGAAAAGTATTAAAGATTTCTTAAAAATATAAAACTTAAAATTAATAATAAATTTATTATAATATTAATTTAAAAAATAGAGTAAATACATATGAATGAACTGAAATAAGTAAATAATAATGAGTACAATTTCAACCGAGCGAGCGTTAGCGAGAGAGGATATGACGCTAGTTTGTATTAATATATAGAATTAATCATAACAATTTTATTGGTAATATATTAATTTTTATATAATTATAGAACTATATAAATTCTGTATTATATAAAATAATATTTTACAGTTATCTTATACTAATATTACATGGTAATGCAAAGGTAATATTACACTGTACCTATTATTACAATAATAATATTGAGGTAATATTACATGCTAAATTAAGAAACTTTGAAATTATTTTAAAAAATGTATTGGGTTTTCATATCTATTTTTCCCTTGCATATTAAAAACATGATTCTTAGTTCAAAAAGTAACATTACATTAATACTACCTTTCATGTCAAGGTAATGTTATTCTCCTATATAGCGGACATTTAAATACCACAGTAAGGTGATTATAATATTACGAATATCGATTGTAATATTAATGTAATATTGAGGTAATATTACGTACTGTTTGGGCTAGTCGCTATACTGTCAGAGACAAATTTTAGATCATTTTTTGCATAAAAATTTGCTAAACGAAAGAACAGTTAACCTTATAAACGGATTTAAAGCAGTATAAAAATTTTTTTTTTACGTAGAAGTTTAAACCTTTGTAACATATTAATGTTAAAAATAACTGGAATCACAGTGATACTTTCCCTGAAAAATAAGGAAAAAGGGGGAATTGAAATATTTTAAATTACTTCTTTCTAAAACATTTTTGAATTTTAATTATTTCTAAACATTAAAACTATGTAATTCTTCCAAAATTCAATTGTTTCTTTACTGAAATTATTACATAGAATTATTCAAAACATAATCCATTTTTCAAAAAAAATGATACATTAATAATTTTTCAAAATAAAAATTTAGATATTTCACTTTTGCAAGAAATACAATTTTCAATGATTTCAATTTCAAAATGTTTTTAAATTTAATTGTTCCTAAAAATCCACACTATAACGATTGTAATATTAAATACATATTTTGTAAAATTTTTACTGAAATTCATTTCATTTATTCATTTTCATTTATTGAAAATATATTGTTTGAGTACAGAAATAAATAATTATTTATAAAATAAATAATGAGAGAAATATTCAATCAATCTAAGAGATATTCAATCAATTGATTGAATGTCTCTTAAATTAATTTATTGAATGCTGTCAAATAACTTTAATGAAATTTCTAAGAATTGAAATTTTCGAGAATTTAATTTAAAATTTGATTTACAAAAATTTTCATTCTGCAAGGAATGATTAAAAAAAATTTTCTTAATAATAATTGAATTCTTCGATAAAATTATTATGTATAAAAATAATTGAAATGTTGTAAAAAATGTTATTCACATCTATGTCGATAATTAGATTTTATCAAAAATGTTATTATTTCAAAAAAATAATTGTTTAAATAAGAGGTAAAGGGGAGAAGAATTGTATTTAAGTGAAATGAAGGGGGGAAAATGAGACGAGCTGTGAAATTATTTATCACTGAAATTAATATTTCACAAAAAATGTAGAAAATAAGATTTAAAGATTTTTAACCCTCTATTCTTTTTTTTATTTAAAAAAAATTATCTATAGGCTACTATTTTTAGGTTCACAAAAGAAAATATTATATGTCGAAATAATGTTGAAGAATAAAAACTGGAGGACTTATCAAAGCTAATCGGAATTACAATAAATAACTGTACGAAATATGTTTCAACTTTTTTATTATATAACATGAAAAAATATATAATTTGTATATATATATATATATATATATGAATACATTTATTTCTAAATTCTCCAAATTTGTCAAACATAAAAACTTAAAGAGATATAGTTTGTGAAAGAAAAAATTTTACTGTTATGAATGTAAAAAATATTCATAATTTTAACGTCTAAATAAACTTATTTTTCAAAAAAACGAAATGAAATTAAGGTCAATTGAATAAATTTGAAGAATTTTTTACAATAAACTTGATAGATAAATTTTTTTTAATAACTTTTCAATACTCGTTTTCACATTTTGAGCATTTCTTGCTATTGAGATCATTATTATAATCGTAATTAAATTATCTTTGGAAAATAATAAAATAAATTTTTTAATTTCTTTGTGCGGGGTTTTCTCTTTCCATTTGGTCATCATTCACTCTTTTCAATTCCCGATATCCCATTAGAATATCTTTGAGTGGAAGAGGAGGAGCATCTGTAACTTCAATGTCTGCTTCGGTGTTCAATTGCAAGAAAATTCTTGGTCCTAAAAAATATTAAATAAGCATTAATATTTATACTTCCATAAATTATTTTTTACAATTTTTTATTAAACTTCTTCAAATAACTGAAATTCAGTAAAATCTCTTTTATGTACATCCAGATGCGTTAATGCTCTCATTACAGTTTGACAGCGTTTTGAAAAGTCGTCGAACTGAACAAAAGCATTAATGTATCTGGGTTCATTCACAATTTTCACAGAAATTCAATCATAAATATGAAAATATATGATTATTCTAAAAATTTTATGATAAGTCTAAATAAGTAAACTTTAATCTAAAACATACTTATATTATCAACGCTACTCTCTAAATTTGAGTCACCGGAAAATCGATGATTAGGCAGATATAAGTCTGTAGCTGATTCAAACAGCACATATACACTATTTCATCGACGTGTATACGCTGTTTGAATCAGCTGCATACTTAAGGCGCTAGCACACCTTCGACTGCCTGCACAGGCAGCCTCCCACCACGCTGAAAACGTACAAGAGTAAGAGAGACAGAGAATCAGAAGATTGAAATTTGAATTTTCTGTCTCTCTTACTCTTGTACGTTTTCAGCGTGGTGGGAGGCTGCCTGTGCAGGCAGTCGAAGGTGTGCTAGGGCCTTTATAGCTGCAAATTAGTGACGTTTCGCTGATTGGAATTTAAAGAGTACAGTGCCAAAATGATCATTGCTTTAATGTCACTGGATTGTTATATTACAGCAAAATTACAATTTGCACCTCAAGGTAATATTACAAGTAATGTTACAGTGACATTACTTGGTGATATATGATGTTTCAGTAGTGTTAAAGTAATGTTACAAAGAAAGATTGTAAAATTCCATATAATAACAACTTTATCAATCTTCATTGTAACATTGCTGTAATATTACTGTGACATTACTGAAAAACGACTGCGATATCATAGTAATATTATCATGTAATATCACTGTAACATTACTCGTAATATTACCTTGGGACGGACATTTTATTATTGCTGTAATGTCACAGTAACTGTATATTGTAATATTATTAATATTACATGTAACATTATAGTAACATGACAGTAATGTTACGTGCTAGTTGAGTATATATAAAATATATGTAGGTACAATACCTTGATTTCTCACTTTTCCAGTAAGATACACTGGATGACATTTTTTGCAGGTCAAAGTATTTTGAAAGGAAACAATCCTAACTTCCATTTTAAAATTTCCATCAGTGACTGAGCCACAGCCATAGGTGCCAAAATGCCGATTAATTCCAAAGCTTTGGCTTACGAATTTGCTTTTAATATAAGCATAAAGCCCTGAAATAATTAATAAATTAAGAATATGAATGAAATTTTTATCACAAAAATACTATATGAGGCATTATTTTTAAAAATACCTTTTAAAATGAGAAGTTACTGAATTTGCTTGAAACTTCAAATAAATAAATAAATTATTCTATATAAACTTTTGCTTTATATTAAAATAACAAATTCCTAGAATATTACGTAATTGAAGAAAATATATATAAAGTTGCAAATAGTAATTGGATTTTAAAAATTTTAGGTAATGCCGTCACATTTGAATCCAAACTACTATGGTAAATTTTTGTTTTTAATTTTTAAAAACCTTTTGAAATGAAAATATTTTTCCAATCAAATGTTACTCTTTATTTTTAACCACTCATCCCTTTTTAAAAAATTATTTATAACCATTGTACAGCTGAATTATTTATAATCATTGTATTGGAGTTTTTTTGTAATGAAACTATGTAAATATAAGACTCACATAATAATAAATTTCAGTATAATGTGAGAAAAATAATTTTTTGTATATCTTTTATATTAATTTCTTAAAAATATTTGAAACATTTTTGATACATAATATTTTTTCCAACATTTCTTACCGCTAAAAAATATTTAAAAGCTTATTAAAGAAACCAATATAAAAATTGAAATCAACGAAGTTTTGTTATGGTTGTACAAATTTAAATGTGAGTGTTCCTTAAAATTTATATAATATTTCATTTATATTCTAATAAAACAAATATTTTTCAAAATTCAATAAATTAGAAAAGAAATAAAATTGAATAATTAAATGAATCATTTTCTTACTTATTACGTTGTTTTCATGATGAATGATGTCACACAGTTCAACATCGGGGATTTCATTTTCCTCTTCTTGTATTTCTGGAATGTTATGTGCCCCAAGAACATTAATAACAGTTGTCGAAAACAACTGTAATTCGTAATTAACATTTCCTTTGTTATACTCTTCTTTCGTGGGTGCTCGAGAACATGCTCCATCAATGTGTAGTATCTAAAAATTTATTTTAAACATATAATTATTTGCAATAAATAACAAATTTCTTGTAATAAATAAAATGATGAAGAAAAAAATTTTTAAATGATTAAAAACAAATAAAACAATGGACCAGGTATACAAATACTAAGATTGCACATAACTTTGCAGCAACATTGCCGCAAGGTTGTCATACCGTAAAAATGCACTATAACCTTTCGGCAATATTATCATGCAATGTTACTCTAAAGTTACTTGACAATATTCAGTCAATAGAACCCTGTAATGTTGTCCCAATGTATCAGATTATTAGATTAACGTGCAATCTTTCGATAATCTTGAAACAACATTACTAACATTGAATGACAACATTGCGGTAATATTACATAAAAATAAAAATGAAAAAATTGGAATATTAATGCAAAATTAAATTATAAAAAATAGAATGGAAAGTAATCAATAGAACTAAGAAATTATAAAGATATGAAGAAGCAAGAGAAAAAGAAACACATTTAGAAAGTAAATAAATTATATAAACATATGAAACCTAAACTATATACTAATAATATAATACATGATAATAATGTTTCATGTTGAATATGAACAAAATGATTTAAAACTAATTCTAATGTCAAATATATGAATAATGTATATAAATATAACTACCTAAATAAAAAAAAAGAATAACAAACGCAAGCAAAAATTGAAAGAAACGAAGTATAATAATGGAAATAACCATGCAAAAATAGTAAAAAGAAAATTTAAAATATGTAACAGAAGATAAATAACAAAAAAACTGCTATAAATAAATATAATTTAACTATTAACGGAAAAATGAATCAAAAGATAACACTCATTATTTATTATATTATATCAATCGTTTTTAATATAGTACTGTCATAAGTATATTATATAAATAGAATTAATTAATTATAAGTAAAATAAAATATGATTAATAAAGAATTGAATAATAAGTTAAACAAATCGAATAATAAATAATAACAATTTCAAAATAAGTAAAAATTTAAAAACAAGTAACATCGAAAAATCTAAAAATTAAAATAATAATGCAATTATAATAAATAATATTATTCATAATAAAATTTATATTGAAATATGAACAAATGAATGGAAATAGAAAGGAAAGTCATATTGAACTTAACATGAACCTATAATAATTATATAATAAAGAATAAAATAAATTACACAAAATTAAGTAAAAGAAATGGAACTAAAAATAGTTACTATGAATGTAAAAATTAATAGAACTAAAAAAATCTATTGAAACAAACAATTTACTACATAACAAATACAAAATTTTATTTTAAATAAAATAAGTATGTACATATTAAAAATAAAGTGTATACTCCAGTGAAAATAATCACGTATCGATCTGGACATGTTATTATACGAGTATGTACACGAAGAACAGTGTTTTACACGTGATAAATTGTTCCTCAGGTATTTACTCGTGCATTGCACATGCACTTACATGTCCGAATCGACACGTTATTATTTTTAATTTAGAAAGAAAGAAAAACAATTATATATATATATATATATATATATATATATTATACAATGATTCTTATATTCCGGATTCCTTAAAAAAAAATTTTTTTAATGAATTTTTTTGGTTTGAAAAATAGAAAAAATTTAAAATAAAATTTTTTTTTAGAATGTCCGGTATGTGAAAATAACCTTGTATATACTATATGATTTGACATCAGTTATATAGTAATTATTACTTACATTAGCTTCACAGATATGTTCCTCTAATTCATTAATTTCTTCTGTGCCCCATATTACACATTGTATTATTTTTCCTGAATTGTTGCTTAAATAGAATTTAAGCAATTCCGTTTTCCCGGACAATCTTCGAGGAATCACCTTTTGCACAAAAGCAACTAACTCTCTGTAGAAAAAAAGTTTTTGCAATTTTATTTTGTTAATAAACTGAAATATTCGAAGAATTTTATTTGAATTATAACTTTTGTATATTAGTTATTTGTTATTCTTTACTTACACTGTTTTATCCCACAACTTGATTGCATCGATCGCCTCATTAGATGTGAAGTCCACGTTATTTTCCTGTCATATAACGAAAGAAAATTAAACAAAATATAAGTAAAATGCAATTTAAAAAATTTGTTTTCCATTTAATAATAATTCCCATTAATAATAATTAATGATATAAATATTGTTTATTATATATTATAATAATATAATATAATATTATAATATAATTATAATTAATAATAATATTATAATTATTATTATTATATTATTATATTATTATTATAATAATTATAATTATAATTATAATATAATATTGTAATATTACAGTGATGTTTTATATAATTATAACATTAAAATAATAGTATACAGTAATATTACTATAACATTACCTAGAGACAGTTTTTCTAATATTATTGTCATATTACCAATGTTACATATCACATTACATTATTATTATAATAATATGATGATATGAATGCCAAAATAAGTTATTTAGAGTTATGAAATATATATTTAAAATTCATCAGAATAAATAAGAATTTTAATTGCCTATATCTCCTTGTGTATTATCTACTATAAACAAAAATTCTCAAGAAACTTCTATTCCAAAGAAGGTTCCTTTATAATCTTCACATAATTGAATTTCTCAGAATTTTAAAGTTATATTCTCAAAATAAACATAATATGTTTTGATCGGATGAAGCAAAATATGAGTATAATAGATATGATTTGTGTTAATGTTTTTGTAATGTGATACTTTTGTATTTGATAATTTTATATAAACTTATGTAAGACAAGGAGTTCACATTTCATTTATTGTAAATAAACATTTATTCATTATAGTTTTATAATGAATTAATTGATAAATTAATTATAATTTTATACCTAATCATTTTATTGATTAATTAATTATTTTGAAAATATTTTTTCATTTTATCCTATTCTTTATACATAATATTGAAATAATTATTCTAAGACAAATAAATAAACAATTTATTTAAAAAATACTTGAAAAATTGTTATACATTTTCTTTAAATATTTCTTATAAATAAATTATAAATAAATTTTTATAAGTAAGAAAAGTTGCATTTACTTAATTATGTTCTAGATTATGCATACATATATACTGTGGTTAAATTGAAATTATTATATTATTTTACTTCCATCTATGCTATTATATTATACCTCAATAAATGAATATTTAAAAAAAAAATATTTCATAATTTATGATAATTTTCATAATGCAAATTTAATTAAAATAATAAGAAACAATTTTCTAAAGTAATTAAAGATAGAATAAAATTTAATTTTCCTTCTTACCATTTTCAAGTTCCTTCCTTCACAAATATTTTTCACAAAGTTTCAGCAAGATTCTATTTTTCAAACTGTTCACAAGAGACGTTGTATTGACTGTGATCTAAGCATTTGACACCACACATGAAGCAAGTTTCAAATTGGTGGGGTTCCTAGGACATGCGCTTAGGTGAAGATTAATGAAACTGAGGCCATAAATATCATGGGATACGGAGAGGGAATATTACCCAGAAATAAGTAACGAGAACAAGAATATAACCAAGAATACAACAGACTAAAATTTCCGAAGAGAATTTAAAAGAATTTTTGTGCTTTTGTACCTACATTTTTTCCTACCTTAGATTCGCAAGATATAATATCGATAATTTAAAAAAAAAATAATTTTAATTTTGGAAACATACTTTCTTATAGGAAATTGAATGGCGCATCTTTTTGTTCTTTAATTTTTTGTTGTAAAACAAATATTTTAGAAGATAATAACTAAAAACTGAAAATTTTAAATTCATAAAATTAATTAAATTTTAAAACATAAACTATCATATCTTTGGTAATTATTATAGGATTCGATTGATATTTCGTATAGAAAAGCAGTTGGTTCTAAAGAAGGCAAAAATGAAATAAAAAACGTAAAAATGATAAATTGTTTAACAATTTTGCTTTCTTAATTAAGACTTGTCAGAAATTCTATTTTCTTACTTTTGCCGATAAAAAGTCTGCGGGGAACTTTAAAATTGAGAAAACTTGCAGTGAGAGATTAGTTTATTAGTATAAAAGGAAGTTTTTTGGAACGTTTGAAAACGATTCGTCAAAAACTAATAAAAATATTCATAAACTAAAAAAATTCGCTACGACGTATACATAGCTACGTCAGCAGATGTATACAGTTTCTGGTTTTTCCTGGTTTAATACAAAATTCCAATGAAAACAATAACTATTTACCCATCTATTAATTTAACAATTATTTATCAATAAAATTACAATTCCTTTTACATTAATTTTTATATTTTGCTTCCTCGTGGAGGAAGCTTTGTAGTCCTTTAATTTTTAAAAATTTTCAAAGTGTCGGAAACAAATTTTTTTCTTTATAGAAACATGTTATATGAGATCCTGATCAATTGTCCGGATGTATGTGTGTGTGTGTGTGTGTGCGTGTGTGGATCCCTTTTTTGTTTAGAAGATAACTTTAACAGGTTTTAATGGATTTAGATCAAATTTGGTAGGCTCATTTATCATATTAATATCTCAAATCTGACCAAAGGATTTTAAAAAATATCCCAAAAAAAAAAATTTTATCGTCTTTTTTCCAAAAATTTTTTTTTAATCGAAAAAATTTTTAAATAGAAAAATTTAAGGTTATATATAATAAAATCGTATTCCTTACGTCAAGACAAATCGATCGGTATATATAAAGTATAGTTTTAATTAAAATTTAAAGAATTAATGAAAATTAAAAAATCAAAAATTCACATTTTGGCAATAAAATTTTGTGATTTTTTAAATTGAACTTTATATATGAAATAATTGTATTCCTTACATGAAAACGAATCGATTGGTATATATAAAATTTACATTTGAGGTAAATTTAATAAATTAATGAAAGTTAAAAATAGAAAATACACATTTTAGCTGAAAAATTTTGTATTCATTTAAATTCAAGTTTAAATATAAAATAATTGTGTTCCTTGCATTAAAACGAATCGATATAATTGTAAATAATTATAAATTATATATTATTTTTCATTAATATTTAGAAATTTCGGTTAAAATATGAATTTTTAATTTTTTAAATTCCATTAATTCTTTAAATTTAACTCAAATGTATAGGTACTCAAATGTTTATATTATTATATTATTTTTGTATGTTTATTTCAATGTTAATGCTTTCTCCACGAGGAAGCAAATTTTTTTGCTGATCGTAAAGAGGAAGCAAAATGTTCATGTGATGAACATCTGAATTTACAACTTGTTTATTTAACAATCAGAATAATAAAATTCATTCAATTATTAAGTATTTTTGACTATCAAACTGAATAACATTTAATTATTATAGGCCTCACATATCATTTTTAGTCATTTGAAAATAATTTAAATTTAATCTTTTATATATAAGTTAAAAGTTTTATTCTAAGACGATAATATAGAATAGAACATCAATATTATTCAATTTGATTTTATAAAATCAAATAGTTTGCATTTCTTATCACAGTTTCATATTTTTTTAATTTTTTTACGTCGTAACAGTATAAAAGATTACAGGACCCTGCACAAAATACATTAAAAATCCCTTTTCCGTTAAATAGTTTGGAACTTCGTGACAGTGAAGTTCAAGTAATTCTAAGCAAAAGCTCTCTGGGTCACAACCCCTAATTCCGAGCCAGCTTACCCGCTAGAAGCTTTTAAAGGTCAAAAGAAGAGAGTTATTTCTTCCTACTGTTCTACCTGAAAAATTCAATATTTTCCTTACTTCTTTGTAAGTACGAACTTTGAAGTACTAAAAATAATAGTGTAGTTTTTTAGTGTAGTGTAGTGCACTGTAGTGCAATGCAGTATAGTACAATAAAGTACAGTTTACTATAGTCTGTCATAGTGCAGTGCAGTGCAGTAAAGTAAAGTATGGTAAACTAAAGTACAGAATAGTATAGTACAGTATAGTATAGTATGGTACAGTACAGTATACTACAGTATAGTATAGTACAGTACTATCCTATATTATACTATACTACACTATAACAGACTATAATATAGCATACTGTAGTAGTATACTGATAGTAGTATACTGATAGTAGTATACTGATAGTATACTTTACTGTACTATACTATACTGCACTATACTATATTGTACTGTACTCTACTATACTGAAATTTACTGTACTCTAATGTACTCTACTGTACTATACTATAGTATAGTCTGTTATAGTGTAGTATAGTATAATATAGGATAGTACTGTACTATACTATACTGTAGTATACTGTACTGTACCATACTATACTATACTGTACTATACTATTCTGTACTTTAGTTTACCATACTTTACTTTACTGCACTGCACTGCACTATGACAGACTATAGTAAACTGTACTTTATTGTACTATACTGCATTGCACTACAGTGCACTACACTACACTAAAAAACTACACTATTATTTTTAGTACTTCAAAGTTCGTACTTACAAAGAAGTAAGGAAAATATTGAATTTTTCAGGTAAAACAGTAGGAAGAAATAACTCTCTTCTTTTGACCTTTAAAAGCTTCTAGCGGGTAAGCTGGCCCGGAAATTGGGGTTGTGACCCAGAGAGCTTTTGCTTAGAATTACTTCAACTTCACTGTCACGAAGTTCCAAACTATTTGACGGAAAAAGTACTGTACTGCACTGTACTTTACTTTACACTATAACCTTATATATATTTCCAAATTTGCCTTTATTCCAATATAATTAAACCAATTTCCAATTTTGCTTTAATTCCAATATAACCAAACCAATTTCCAATTTTGCTTTTATTCCAAAATGACCAAATCAATTTCCAATTTTGCCTTTAATCCAATATAACCAAACCAATTTGCAATTCTACCTTTATTCCAATATATTAGATTTGAAATAATTTCATTCCTTTAATGAAATATGTTAATTAAGATAATCCAAGAAATAAATTTATGCTATATATTTTTGACATTTTTATTTTCTCCTTCAAAGTTATAAAACAGTAATATTGTTTACTATTAAAAACATCCGTAAAAACATTGATTGAACTGATTCACATTTGGAGACTAATCTTTTCAGCCCAATCAAGTCAAATCTTTTGGCATGGTTAGGAGAGGATATTTTCGAATATTTAAAAAATTCCATACTGATCGTACCCTTAAATGTAATGTTGTATATTAAAAACCATAAATACATAAAGATATATTACACTAAATTGAATTAAAATTATTCAAAAATTTCACTATATACATAATTTTTTATATATTTATTACTTCTATTATCTCCTAAATATATTTTTACAGAATCAAATGATTTAACTCTTGATAATGCAACATACATCTGACCGTGATTGAAGACATCTCTTCTCAAATCAATGGATATTCTGTTGAATGTTTGCCCTTGAGATTTATTGATAGTCATTGCGAAAGCCAATTTTATAGGAAATTGTCTTCTTTTAAAAGTAAATGGATATAAATTTTCACAATATAGAGTTACTCTATGTAAAAAAACAATATTTCCACTCTTATCTCCAGTCAATATTTGACATTTAATAACATTATGTGATAAATCTAAAATAATTAACCTTGTTCCATTACATAAACCTTCATTAATACTAAGGTTTCTAATAAGCATTACAACTGAATTAATTCTCAAATGTAATTCATGTGGTGGTAAAGCAGGCGGAGAGAGAGTATTTAAATATTCTGGTAACAAGACTTCCGCAAAACTTCCATTATCACAAGTTTCAGTAGAATCAATACTTTTATACATTTTTTCCCCATTACTGTCTAAGAGACGCACCACTCTCTTATTAATATCATCAACGTCAACGTTTCTAGGTGCTAAAATTGCACACTCTGACAACTCTCTAAATTTATTCTGTTGTATCAAATGACCATACATTTCTTCAGCAATATCTACATTTCCATGTTGAATAATATGTTCTGGTAATTTAACATTATCATCTACATCATTTAATTCACCATTGCCCACTTTAAGTAGAAAATCTACAAATTCCGTCTCCTGTGGTAAGGCTCTCATATTTTCTGTTAAAGTGTATTTTTTGAAATGTTTCCATAGTTTACTGTTCTTTATGGATAAATTTACGATTTCTGATCTAGTGCCTCGTTCTTTAATTGGCAAAGTTTGTCGAAAATCTCCTCCTAGAATTACAATTTTACCACCAAAAGGAACATTTGATTTCATTATATCTCTTAATAGATAATCCATAATTTCTAAGGCATATTTTGGAGCCATTGGTGCTTCATCCCAAATAAAAACATCTATATTTTTTAAAAAGAGTCCCTCTTTTGACTGAACTTTAATGTTTGAAGTTGAATCACTATACAGTGGAACAGGTAATCCTAAAACTTTATGAACAGTTTTCCCGTTAGGGAGCAAAGTGGCAGCTATACCCGTAAATGCCATGTTACAAACATTCACTCCTTTGCTTCTTAATAAATGCCATAGTGTAATGTATAAAAAAGTTTTTCCAGATCCTCCACAACCATTGACATATAAGCATTTAGAACCATTTAAAGAAGAATCTTTTATAACTTGAAGTATATAGTCAACTACGACTTTCTGTTTTACATTTAATGTATCATAATTTTGTTCTCCTATCTTAATATGTTCTAACATATTTATATCGTCAACTTGTATAGAACGATTTTCATCTTCTATGTCTAATAATCCCTGAAAGTCAGTTAAATTGTATCCTTCATTAAGTAACAGTGATTTTATATTTCTATAAGCCATATTTTCAGCCTCAATATTGTTAATTTTTGAAAAATCTTCTGACAGATGCCTCTTAAATTGTTCCCAAAGTTTATCCGGGTGAACAGGATGACAATGAATTAAAATTCTTACAAATAATTGGCGAAGTGAATGAGGCATCATCCATAAAGTAGCTTCTTCCATTGTTCTAATCCACTCAGTATCATCTTCCACAAGTCCTAATGCCAAACAAGCAGATGTAAAAGATTCAAGCACGACTCCATTAACTGTTCTTAAACTTTCAAAAGAAGTTGCTCCTTTTACTGTAAGCAACAATAATCTCAGGTGAAATAATTCCATTTGAGAGGGATTAACTGAATACATTCTTCCCAATACTTTTTCCTTACGAATTCTTTGTTTCCATTCAACAGATTTTGTTATCCACGTATAATGTTCTGGTATTTCTGAATAGTAATACTGATGAGCATTACTATCACGTTGGTTAAGTTTAAAGTAATCCAGTAATTTTGTATTTTTCTTCAAGTCAAAAGTAACAACGTTACTATCTTTTCCTTCTCGAATAATAACATTCTGTTCATTTGGTAAATGTATGGGTAAACGATTAATACTATGACTCTTTTTTCCTAAAGGTTTACTTAGAATTCTCCAAACTGCCTCAACAGGACCAACATATCTATTTTCTTCATAATGATTTATTTCATTGTGATTCACAGTTACCTCACCATTCGCATTTGTGATAACAATGGATGCAGCATCATGCCCCTTGAAAATATATTTATATAAATATTTAACAGATTTGATACTCGAAACTATTTCCACATTTATATGACAATTAAATATTTCTGATAGCTTAGGACAATAAGGAACAACATTAGAATTATCAACAACAAATCCATTTGGTCGTTCATACGTTCTATTATTATTTCTTCGACGACAGTGAACATAGCAATTTTCTTCAATTGTAGTTTCATTTTGGTATGGTTTTGGAAAATTTTTTGAACATTTTCCATCAATCAAACACCAATCTCCACAAGGTCCGTGAATGTTATTTTGCATTATTATTTTATGTAAGGTAGGATTAATATTTTCATCAGGAATTTCTGCAGAAATATAACGATCAACACTTTCAACTGTCAATATTTTAGAATTTTCTTTCAATATAACTAACAAATGAATGTGTGGCAATCCTCGCTTTTGAAATTCAATAACATAAACATAAGACTTTACCTCTCCAAATAATTTATTATCAACAATAACTTTTAGCAGATGTTTCACTTTTAATGCAAAAACCCTAGTTACTATATCAGGTCTATCAGCAGCAGTTTGGTGGGGTAATAGATTTTCCTTTATCTCTTTCCAATTTGGATTACATGTCATTGTAATAAATAAATCCGGTCTACCATGACGAGCAACAATAGCCATGGAATCTTGATATTGTTGCATCATATTGCGAGGAGATCCTATAAAAGTAGAAGGCAATATAAGCATTTTTCCAACGTGTACATCATTTTCTAACTCACGATTATGTAAATAATCAATCAGTCCTTTATATGTTTCACTTCTCAATTGAGCTTGATTATTTGCACAAAATCTTAATCTATCTTTTTCTATTTTTACATAATTATCAACTACCCATTGTTGAAACAACCGCCCGCCATGTAAGAATTGATTAAATTCCATATTTCTTATTGCGATTTTGTATTTGACATAGGCAGACCTAGAAATAGTAATGTTTCTTTTTCTATAATCACTATCACTACGAATCATATTAATATTATAACCTTTATTTCCAAATGGGTAAAATATAGGATAAATCCAAGGTTCAACATTGGGATCCAAATTACTTACTAATTTTAATTTCTTTGTAGATTTATTATAAACCGTTACATAGGATTCTGGTATTTCTCCTTCTGAGTTTGTATTAAAAATTGCAGCAACTTCATTAAAACTTTGAAAATTGTATCTTTTTTTATCTAAACCTTTCTTCAACGTAAATAATAATTGTAATTCAGGAATATCTTCATTTCTTTTTCTTGCTAATTCAGCTTCCATTTTAATTACTTCTGACATCATCATAAAAGATTTTGTGTATACATTAGAATTTCGCATAATATTTTCTATAGTTTTTAAGACTTCTTCATCCAAAATATAATTACTTTTTTTTCTGTAACAAATTGCTTCTTCAGGATCATAAATAAATAATTGACCAAAACATGGATCTTCACCTTTATCCGGATATAAAGCGCTATTAATTTGATAGTAAATTTGACCTTGAATTTTGTAACAGAATGGTCCCCTTCTCCTGCCATTAAAGTTAATTACATTAGCATTCAAAGATGCAAAAGAAAAGGAATTATTATACAATCTTATATTTTTTTTAAAATGGCCAGATTTATTATGAATACCTTCTAGCAAAAGCCTTAATTCATTGGGATATTCTACTGAACCTATCACAACGCCACCATGACCACAGCAATCATTAAAACTACCTTTTTTATTGGCAACTTTTTCGTCTTTAAAATGTTTAGCTTGACAATGTGTGCAGTAAAAATTCATCGAACCTAGATAATTTTCAACATTGTTTGATTTAAATGGCATATTATCATTTAAATCTGCATTTGATATTGATGGAGTAGAAAGAATCAAATTAGAATTTACATCATTTACTTTCTGTAACTCATTTGGCCGAATATTTAATTCAGATTTTAATTGTGTTATTTGACAATTTTTTATTTCTCTTTCTTTATTAATTTTCTTTAAGTTTACATGAGAAGAATTTGTATCATACTGAAGTTGTTTTTTTTCAGATTCGGCATGGAGTTTATTTTTTGTTGAAGAGTCTCCTTCATCTAAATAATTTGATGTATCTTTTTTACGTTTTAAGTTTTGCCTCTCACGATAACTTTTTTGAATCTCAGCTCTACTTTTTTTAACTGTTGTTGATGCAATATTTTGTTCTTTTTTGGATATGGCATGAAGTTTTTCTTTTGTCGAACAGTCTTCTTCATATAAACAATTAAAATTATCAATTTTACGTTTTAATTTTTGCCTCTCACGATAATTTTTTTGAATTTCAGCTCTACTTTTTTTTAGTGTTGTTGATGCAATATCTGCTTCATTTATCTTTTTTATGATTTTCGGGCAAGATTCTCCACACTGCAGTTGTTTATCTTTTTCTGTTAAAAGACAATTCCAGTCATATTCAACTCTGCAAGATCTACTATTAAGAACTTGAACAGATGGAAAATTCCTTAAATGATTGTTTTTGAACATTAGCATTAAATGATTTCTCATATTACAATGATAGTAATTGACAGAATGGGGCATAATATTAAAATATAACGATGTTGCGAATGCTATTGCATATATTCCACAAGCAAGACTATTTTCTGGTTGTTGATCAACAATTGTGAAAATTACTGGTGGTTTAAAAGGATATAATCTAATTAAATATTTTTTCTGATCTTCATTTAAACATTTTTTGTTAAGACTATCAAAAATGTAAAGACTTTTTCCATCATAGTAAGTACAAATCCAATGACCACATTTATGAGAACCACTAAAAAGTATTTGAATGTGCTGCTTATTTATCTCGATTGGATATATCATATCAAGTGCTTGTAAAAATAAAGTATTTTGCATATTATAAAATAAATTTGATTCTCTTCCCAATAACTTTTGAAATTCATACATATGATCATTATTTAACATTTGTCCTTCAGTAATTACAATACTTAAATCATTATCACTCAAATTAACAATTTCTCCTTTGTTTGTCATTGCTTTTTTTATTTATAAAAATTACAGATATAACGAAATTGAAATTTAGAAGATCAATTTCCAATTTTGCCTTTATTCCGATATGATCAAATCAATTTCCAATTTTTCCTTTAATCCAATATAAACCAACCAATTTCCAATTTTGCCTTTAATCAAAAATGACCAAATCAATTTCCAATTTTTCCTATAATCCAATATAAACCAACCAATTTCCAATTTTGCCTTTAATCAAAAATGACCAAATCAATTTCCAATTTTTCCTTTAATCCAATATAAACCAACCAATTTCCAATTTTTGCTTTATTCCAATATAACCAAATCAATTTCCAATTTTGCCTTTTTTCCAGTATAACCAAACCAATTTCCAATTTTGCCTTTTTTCCAGTATAACCAAACCAATTTCCAATTTTGCCTTTTTTCCAATATAACCAAACCAATTTCCAATTTTTCCTTTATTCCAATGTAACCAAATATAACCAAACCAATTTCCAATTTTTCCTTTATTCCAATATAACCAAATCAATTTTCAATTTTGCCTTTAATCCAATATAACCAAACCAATTTCCAATTTTTCCTTTTTTCCAGTATAACCAACCAATTTCCAATTTTGCCTTTTTTCCAGTATAACCAAACCAATTTCCAATTTTGCCTTTTTTCCAGTATAACCAAACCAATTTCCAATTTTTCCTTTATTCCAATGTAACCAAATATAACCAAACCAATTTCCAATTTTTCCTTTATTCCAATATAACCAAATCAATTTCCAATTTTGCCTTTATACCAATATAACCAAACCAATTTCCAATTTTACCTTTCTCCAATATAACCAAACCAATTTTGTCCTCTTTCCAATATAACCAATCAATTTCCAATTTTGCCTTTAAACCAATATAACCAAACCAATTTCCAATTTTACCTTTCTCCAATATAACCAAACCAATTTTGTCCCTTTTCCAATATATAACCAACCAATTTCCAATTTTGCCTTTTTTCCAGTATAACCAAACCAATTTCCAATTTTGCCTTTTTTCCAGTATAACCAAACCAATTTCTAATTTTTCCTTTATTCCAATATAACCAACCAATTTCCAATTTTGCCTTTTTTCCAGTATAACCAAACCAATTTCCAATTTTGCCTTTTTTCCAGTATAACCAAACCAATTTCTAATTTTTCCTTTATTCCAATATAACCAACCAATTTCCAATTTTGCCTTTTTTCCAGTATAACCAAACCAATTTCCAATTTTGCCTTTTTTCCAGTATAACCAAACAAATTTCTAATTTTGCCTTTTATTGAATCAATACAACAATATTTATTTATAACAACATTACTTACTTCATATGCTCACGAAGTTCACTTTATATTCACTAAATTCACTTTATGTCTTATATAAAATCACTATATATCCACTATGTTCACTAAATTTTTACATTTATTTATAACAACATTACTTACTTCATATGCTCACGAAGTTCACTTTATATTCACTAAATTCACTTTATGTCTTATAAAATCACTATATATCCACTATGTTCACTAAATTTTTACTAAATTCACTGTATATTCACTCACAATCAGTGAGTGAATTTTTTTTTATTAGGTTAAATATTTTTCAAGTATTCAAGTAACTGTTGTACTTGACAAACCGAAATATTCTACAATATGAAGATTTTAAAATTATCATTTCGTTTAGAGGGTTATATTATATTGTTCATATATATATGAACAATAGAACCCTTATTTTTGAGTCTTAACTCTGAGGACCCAGGTAATATTTTCTTTCTCCCTTTATTGCATGGAAATTATTAGAACTACTATCGTGGTCAAAGTAATGTTTTACTGTCTCTCTCTATTATAAGCAAATAACATAAATTGCTCTCTCTTCAGGTAACGCATTTGCTTCTCTCTCTTTCCACTTAAATATAGCATAAAACTATCTCCCTTCAGGTAACGCTATTGCCCTCTTCTTCTTTTCAAAACAAATATCAATAAACTGTCTCCCTTTACCTAATTTGCATATTTACTCTTTTCATATAAGGATTTATTTGATACGATAAAATAAAATATTTAGGTGACCTGGACATTGAAAAGGGGGCTTACCTGCGAAAAAATTAATTTTTTATTGATTGTTGATTCTGATAGAGGAAAGTCTTTTCTATTTATATTATTATTGAATATTATTATTATATTTTATTATTTATTTATATTAATATTGCCGTTATATATTTTTCATTTTAAATTATCATTGCCATTATCAACAATATTATCTTTATCATTATGATTTTATTTGTCATTATATAATCTTGCCATTATAGTTAATTAATGCCATTAAATACCACTATTATCATTATTATGTCACTAATATGATCCAAATTTTATGTAAAAATAAATTTAGGTATAGATTTGATTAAAGTACTTCTGGGTAAACAATATTTTTTATGTATAATTTTTGTGGGAATTCTGGATTATTGAATACTGCAGAATCTGTAGCATAAACTTTTAAATTATCCTTAGATCTGACTCGAGAGAAACCAACATATATTTGACCGTGACCAAATGCAGAACTTGGTAAAAATAATCCTACTTTATCGAAAGACTGACCTTGAGATTTGTTTATCGTCATTGCATAGGCAAGTCTAACAGGAAATTGTCTTCTTACCATTTTGAAAGGAAATAGATCTTCTGAAGGAGATAAGTCAATACGTGGAATTAACACTTTTTCTCCTTTAAATTTTCCAGAAATAATTTCAGCACAAATAACATTTTTTAATAAACGCCTAACAACTAATCGAGTTCCATTACATAATCCTTGAACAAGATTCATGTTTCTTAAAAGCATAATTATACATCCTACTTTTAATCTTAATTTATGTGGTGGTAAACCATCTGGAGTTATACTATTCAAATATTCTACTGGAATCGGATTATTTGAGCTGTTTGATTCATCATCAATATGAGAATCAACACTGTAATACACCACTTCTTCTTCTTCTAATCTAGATAAAATGCATTCATTCAAATGTAACACATCTGAATTAGTAAGTGAAAGGATACAAGATGTATAAACAGTTACATCATTTGAATTTATTGATATTCCAAAAATTTCATTAATTAAATTTCCATTTGAAATTAATTCATCTGGAATTTCAATTACATTATTTTCTTTTTCAAATATATTTTCAGTTTTTCCGTTACCAACATTTAGTAACCAATTTGAAAAATCGTGGTTATTATTTGCTCTAATGTTTCTATGTAAAGACATAGTTACAAAGTGATCCCATAATATACTATTTTTTACACATGTTTCAATAATGTGAGTACGACTACCATGTTTTACAATAGGTAAAGTTTGTCTGAAATCTCCTGAAAGTAAAATAACTTTACCGCCAAAAGGTCTATTACTTTTTGTAATGTCTCTTAACATATTTTCCACTGCTTGTAAAGCATACTTGGGTGCCATTGTTATTTCATCCCAAATAATAATTTTTGCACTTCTTAAAACTTCAGCATGTTTAGACATTCCACTAACATTACATGTTGAATTTTCATTTAGTGGTATGGGTAATTTAAACAAATTATGGGATGTTCGACCACCTTTTAAAAGATTAGCAGCTATTCCAGTTCATGCAACAGGTAAAGCAACTAATCCTTCACTTTCAAGAGCAGTGATGATTGCATTGTGCAAATAGCTTTTGCCACTACCTCCAGGTCCATCAAGAAAAATATATCTATTTTTGTTATCATCATTATGAACTGCAATCATAACTTCATTAAATACTTGACGTTGTTCATTATTTAGACTTCGAATAAGAGTATCAGCTTCTATTTTAAGCAACTTTAATGTCAAAAGATCATTTTTCTCGTTTAGAGGATTATAACTTTGTAGAAGTTTTTGATTAATATTTGGCAAACCAAACTGATCTAATTTAAATCCATGGGAACCAAGTACTTCTTCAATTAAAGTTAATGACTGTTGAATAGAGATTTCTACTGGTACTTTATTGTCGAAAATCATATGTTCTTTATATTTATTATATAGATCAGCAGCATTTATAGGTAATCCAAATACACATATGTAAGCAAACAATCCACAAAATTCTTTTGGAAATTTTATGCTTACAGCGTCATTCAAACAATTATCCCATTCATTGTCATCTATCATTAAATTTCTTGCACGTGCAGTTTCTGCAAAAGTATTATATGTAATTCCTTCGTAAGTTCTTAAATCTTCAAACGATTTTGCCCCACGTGTATATAGTAATATCACTCTTAAAAAATATCTTTCAATATCTTTTGGACTTACAAAATACATGCGAGAAATTAAAGGTTTTTTAATGCGTTCCCTAACTTTCCAAGTTTTTGATGATTCGACAAAAACATAATGATTAGGTATTTCTGTATATAAATAGTTACATGCATTTGGATCTTTTTTGTTTAATTCAAACCACGCAGTTAAGTCGTGTTTTTAAATTCATTAATGGCTTTATCCTCTAATCCTTCTTTAAAGCATATTCCTTGTTGATTTGGTAAATGGACAGCCAATCTGTATGTTGTATGTGATTGTTCATGCATAGGAAATTCAAACAATCGGTGCACAGCTTCTGGTGGACACACATATCGTGTATTTATATATTGTCTAATTTCATCATACTCCATTTCTTGATTATCATCCTTAACGCCAATTAAAGCGCAATCGTGACCTTTGTAACAATATTTAAAAAAATATTTTATACCGTCGACGTTTGGACAAACCAACACATTAATATGGCATTCAAATGTTAATCTCAAATACGGATTGTAAGGTACAATCATTGAATTATTCGCAATGCATTTAATTGACTTATCTTTATTATAAAAAATAATTTGCTTACCATCATTTCGACGCTTATATAAAGGATATGATTTGGAATTATAAATTGTTTCTGAACAAAACGGTTTTGGAAAATGTTTTGTGCATACTTTTTTCTCAGGATCCATACAAGGCGAATTCATATTGTTCACTCCGCAAGGACCGTGGACTTGAAACTGTTTTATAATATTAAAAAGTCTAGGGTGAGTAGATTCATCTGGAATTTCCGCACTTATAATTTTATCAACAGCTTCTGCATCGCGGATTGCATATTCTCGATCTAAGAATAAAATTAGATGTACATGTGGCAACCCACGTTTTTGAAATTCTATTACATACACGTACGCAATTACCCGTCCGAGAATTTGCTTTTCTTTTAATTCACTCATTAGCATTTGTACTTTCTGTTGGAAAACTCGTGCTACAAGATCTGGTCGATCAGATGCTATTTGTTCATTTACTAAATTTTCTGTAATCTCAGGCCATTTTGGATTACACGTCATTGTTATGAATAGATCTGGTTTTCCAAATTCCTGAACTAATCGCATAGCATCCATAAAAGATTGCTGATATGAACGTGGTCCAGAATTAAAAGATGAAGGCAAAATACTCATTTTACCTGGACGAACATTCTCTTCATTTGCTTTATTTCTTACATAATCCATTAATCCACAATACATTTTTGCTCGAAGTTTTGTTTGTTGTTGACGAATATATTTTAAACGTTCTCCTTCTACTTTACACCACATGTCAACTATGTATTGTTGAGTTAATTTTCCCATTGCTAAGCAAGGATTAAAATGTTCTCTAAATGAAAGACGATATGAGTAAAATTGCAAAGGAGTTACATTTCGCTTGCCTTCAACGTGTTTTATATTTACAGTCCATCCTGGATCACCTGAAGGAAACATCAATGGATATATCATGGGATCAACATTAGCGCTAAGACTAGAAATTGGAATACTTTTGTAATCTTTTGGATATATACATATATCACGTTCCATAGGAGGTTCTCCATCTTATCTTCACTTACAAATACTACTGCTACTTCATTACATGAGGGGACATTGAATGTTTTAGAATTCAATTTTCTATCACGTTTGATCCACATTTGAATATTCCTCATTGGTTTATTTAATCGTTCTGCTAGTGCTTCTTCTTCCAGCTCTACTTGTCTCATCATTTTCAATGCTTCTGCATATGGATTTATTCTTTTAAGCAGAACATCTAATTCTGATAGTAATGTAGTCAAACAATTTTTGTTACTATCACAACTTAATCGTTCCTGTATTGCTTCATTTGTATCAATTATATATAGTTGACCATATTTACGCTTATCATTATCATTTGGATGAAGAGAGTATGTATTGTGATAAATTTGAGCATGAATACGATAAACGAAAGGACCATTTCCTTTTGGAACTTCTAATTTAGCACCCATACTGGCAAAGGCTAAAGAGCTATTATAAGCGCGAATATTTTCCTTAAAATTTCTACTTACACTGCTTACCAAATCGGACAATAAATTTTTTAAATACTTAGGGTAAGAACTTAACTCTTCTAATTTTATTTTACCTTTGTGACAACATTTATTAAATTTCTTATCTGATGATCGTTCACATAAGAAGTTTAATGAACTACAAAAAGTACACTTTACATTCATCGAACCTAAATAAATTGGTAAAATTTCGTCTTCGTTGATATCTGCAACTAATCTGACTGCAGCACACTTTGCTGTATTACAACTACGACTGTTTCTTTTTCTTATCTGATCTTTTTCTTGTCTCTCTAATTTCTTATCTTCAGACTCCATTAATCTTTCATACCTTTTTCTCATTTTTTCCTTATTTCTTTTTTCTGTTATCTTTTCTTCAGTTTCACCTGATTTCGACATTAATTTTTGTTTTTTGTCTTTTTCTTGTCTATCTAGTTTCTTGTCTTCATTTTCCATCGATCTTTCTTTTCTTTTTCTCATTTTATCCTTATTTCTTTTTTCTGTTATCTTTTCTTCAGTTTCACCTGATTTCGACATTAATTTTTGCATATCATTTTCTTCTTCTTCTTTCACTACTTTAATATCTTTAATAATTTCCAATGACTTTTTTTTCTTTGTTATTTGTCTTTCAGTTTGCTCCAATTTTACCGTAACTTTTTGCTTTTTGTCTTTACCTTGTTCGTTCAATTTTTCATTTTCTTCTAATCGTACTTTTCTTTTTCTGTTATCTTCTTTGCTTGTCATAATATTTTTATTATCATTGTCACTATCCTTATTTACACTACTTTTCGCCATATCTTTTTGTGAGACAATCTTATTGCCATTAGCACGAACACTAAAATCACTACAATTATCACGGAACGTTAAATTAGTTGCCAAGTCAACTTTTTGTAATTGAGACAATTTATTTATATACGCTTCAGATTTTTTACTTTTAATACCACAAGAAGAAATATATCTATTTGATGACTGCTGGACAGGTAATAGTTTAAAGGGTTTCAAAGTATTATTTTTAAACATATTATGTAAATGTGGTCTCATTGATTCAACGTCATATTGAACCGCATCCGGTGACATACCAAAGCAAATAGATAAAGCAAATGCTATAGCAATTACGCCACAATCTCTATCATTAGATTGCTGTTGTACATTTAAAAAAATAACCTTTGGTTTAAATGGAAACAACCTATTTAAATACGCTTGCTGTTTTCTGTCTAAATATTTAACATTTATACTATCACATATATAAAGATCTTTTCCGTCATAATAACTAAAAGTCCAATGACCATCTTCTTCATCTTTACCACTAAAAAGTACCTGAATATGTTTTTTATCACGATCAACAGGAGAAATTAGTTGTAGCGACTGTACGTATAATGTATTTTGCATTTTCAAGAGACCTTCAGAATAAATTTCTAATAACTCTTGAAATTTATACATGTGATCTTCTAAAGTTTCACAATTTTTAATCTGTGCTTTATACTTGAATCCGATATTGAACATTGACGAATTTTTGGAAAATTTTAATCTTATAATTGAGAGCGCTATTGATAGATTTCCTCAACTTCCGTTATTTATTGGGGGGGATTTCAACGCCGAAACCGGCGAACTCGACGACGATTGTGCCTTGGCGTATAGTCAATGCCCTCTATTAGTTAGGAAATCATTAGATAAATTAGTGAACTAACGCGGGAAAAAAATTCTTGAACTTTTAAATAATAATAATCTAACTATCCTCAATGGAAAATTTTCTAAAGACTACCCGGGTCAGTTCACTTATCACGGACCCTTTAAATCAAGCGTCATTGACTGCGCATTTTGCGATTGGTTCCATCTCGACTTAATAAAAAACTTCGAAGTATTAAAAATTGTGACGCGTTCGGATCACCTCCCTCTGTGCGTGGAACTTAACTTAACACCGGAAATGACAAGTAATACTAATGAAAATTCTATTTGCTTTAAGTTCTTGAAGTGGAAAGACGAATGTCAAGAAAACTATAATCACATAATGTATCATAAAGATAGTGTCGCCACTCCAAATGAGACCACAGACGAAATTAACGCATTTTTAATTAGTACTATTGTAAAATCGGCACAGGAGGCGGGTATGGAAGGA